CGTTGACCTTAAAACAATAAATATGTCTGTTGCTAAGAAAACTTAATAAATAGTATAAGATATAAGAATTCTAGTGGTTAACAATTTTCTAATTTTTTTTATTTGTTTAAATTTGCTCAAGGCTATTTTGTTGTAGGCGATGTCGCGACACAATGCCAAAATGTTTTGTTACGGTCTTAAATATGGAATCCAAAAGCTCATGCATTAATTCAATTACGTTAATAATTTTTGTACTAAGCTGGAATGTGTGTGGATATGTAAATTTTCAGTCATTTAATGCGAAATAGCATTATCCATTGTCTCTCGACAGTACCTGTGTTTTAGCTTCTCCAGTACATATAAATTCATCAAGAGGACACGTGATAGTGCCCTTTCTAAAGCAAAAGTATTACTTGAATGAACGGACGTATTCAGTGGGGTTACGCCTGTCCTGTTGGCACACAAATATTCCCAAATATCCCTTATTTTTCCCCAATAGAAGCAGCAGTGTTTCAAGGACGTGGTATTTTGTGGATGAAGATTTCATTAATATAAAGTAGGTCGTAGGACATTTTTTAACTCAAAACTTTGATGTAGTTTTGGGTAAAAATACTGTTTTGGTTCTCAATCATACCCAAATAGGCAAGTCTCACTCCTTAGGAGTCAACTAAATTAATGCTGGCTGAAAATAAGCGTATTATGTGGATAAACATTTTTGAAATTAATAAATTCGACTACGTGCAATTGTGCAACAATGTTTATACGCACGTATATGCAGCTGTAATGAAAAATATCGGTCAAAACCCTTAACGTATTTGCCACAAGTATAAATTGCATTATTGTCACCTACAAAACAACGATTTCCAAGTCTAAATCACTGCATCTACTTTTACTTTTAACACATTAAAAATGTTAAGTAGAGATTCCTACACTGGATCAAATTATAACTTGGGCTCACCAATGCATAATAAGAGTGTACTGCGTTTCCGTAAACTGGTTAAACATATTAATGACGCATGCAGGAAATAAAACTTTTGCCACTTTAATCACATAAAAAGGCAAATTTTATGACCAACTACTGCTATGATTTCAAAAGGCTTCCAAAAATCACTTAAATGCAGTTTGCTTCGTACACAAAACTGCTTTCTTCAGAAGTTTAAATCCAACTTCTTAACTAATTCTGGGATTGAAAAATATTGCTTTCTTTTTTTACAAGTCATGACCTTCTGTTCTAAAAACTATCTGTTTGACTAATCTGGTGAACAACAGGGTTGTCAAAAGTTCTCAAATTTCTGTATTAGACATTTCACGGTAATCGGACATATGGCATGAAGGCATTGAAGTCAAGTAATCCGTAATTGTTATATCTATCAATGTTTTTATGCAGGTGCTTTTTGTCGAGTATTATTGCGTGCTTTTAATTGTTTGTAATTTTGTCGCAAGCCCGAACCAAATCCGTACTAATTCCATTCGACTTTTCATTAAACGCAAGTGATGTTTTAGACGAGTTGAAAAACTTGGATACTACGTCGATCCATCCAGCAGTGCATTAGAAGTGTCTTCAAAAAATGATCCAGGAAGTAAATTGGTAAGATTGTGCAATCCTTGGATAATTTTTGACAACATGTTTACACGTTTTCATCATTTTTATAAATGTCTTGACTGTGTGCTTTCAAATCAGAACTCAAAATGTTTCCTTTTTCAATATTATTCTTCTTACAACTAGTAGAATTATTTTATTTTCTGCCATGAAAATTAATTTTTTAGTTTGTGAGAATTTGAAACGTGTAAAATTAGGCACCAGCGTAAAAGATGTATCTAGAGATAAATCGTTTCTGATTAAACAACAAAAGAAGATAGCTTCTAATTATAAAGTCTTAAGCGATCTGCTATCATATAATGCTTTATTGTATCCTTGCTCTTTATAATAAAGAAAACAAAAGATTCTTCATTCGTGCAGTTTCAGTTGCATTTATTTGCAAGTTAGAGCAACATCGGAAAGTTGAAAAGAAGGTAATATTGGTTAAATATCTACAGCCTCTAATAGGCCTCAGCTTACATCAGCTTGGCTAATCACATGCACATTAAAGCTTGATGAACGGTTTTTAACGGTTGCAAAAATGGTGGTGTTTTTAATACATTTATTTATTTGCAGCTTCTTTTCCTTTGTGTTCTTCAAGAGCCCCCAGACAAAAACACTAGAAGGGGTGCTTCTTTCTACGAACTCCATGAAGTACATGTGCCATCTTTAGAAGTCGTCAATGCTCAAACAGATGTTTATACTGTAGATATGACCTTCGAGACTGTGGGGCTAGACCCCTTCCCACCGGGTGAGTTTACATAAGTTTGAACTTTTAAAATTTGACTGCATAATGTTTCCTTAATAGTATCTGGTAAATTTCCAATCACACTAAAAGTCAAATCCTTGGATGCATCTTAAAATTTCTTCTTAGATGTAGGCGGATGTTAAAATGGCAAGACAATTATTCCAGAAATTGAAATAAACATTTAGCACATCTAGTTCGACAAAAAATTGCAAACCATCTGGTTAATTTAAAGACCAGGGTGAAATATGACGTGGTTATGGTATCAGGCAGATTTGAGCAACCATTTGTTCTGGAAATCTTGGTGAGAATGCGTGGTGAAATATTGCTTGTGCCAAGTGCTCTCCACGAACCTATTGCTTCACTTTAATTTGCCCATTCATCCATTCTGTCAATATGAATTATTAGACTTTGATATTACAGTAACAACAGGATTTTTTAAAGAGCGTCTTTTAGAAGTGAAAAAGATCATTGCTTAAAAATTAATTCCTAGACGCATGACCTAATCAGGCAATGGTACATTTTCGCACTATTTTTCATGCAAAATATGCTTAGGATTATCATATGCACCTGTTTAGTATTTCAGATTAATTCAACCCTAAAATGTTCTGTGTTTTGTTGGGACGCATTATCTCAGCCTGTTTTCCGTACAAAAAAGAATTCACCATCTGACTCATTTACACAATGGCTGCTAATTTCGCGTATTGTCGGTAGCATCAAAATCTTCAGAAGAGGAAGGCCTTCTTTCTGCGAATTCTGAATAAAGACTTGTTTGTTATTCACTTGTTAGGGTGCGGTTACGCATTTTTAAAATATAGCGATCATATCGAAGCCCGCCATAACAATTTGCCCTGTCGAATCTTCTTGCCTGAACTCTACGAAAATAACCTTGGGATCTTTATTAATGAGGTAAGGGTTCGATTACCCAAAAGCTGTTTACAGTTTTTTTAAACGGATTCGAAATATTGTTCAAATGCTGTTGCGTTGTGATTTATTCTCTCCAGCTTCTGAATAGAGAATATTTGTGTGCGATGCTTGACTTAAAATGACGCAAAAGGGCTCTGGTTTTGACGTAGCGATGTGCAGGATCTTTTTAATTTACTAGAAACACTGTTTATTTTCACTAGTTTTAGACATTTCCTAGTTCTGCAGCCTACTGAGAACCTGAATTTATCCAATGATAAACATTTAAGAACACTCTTTCTAGGTAAGAATCGATGCCGCTTCTGAACCGTCGCTCTACATACAGGAGTCAATAATTGCTGAAGCCAGTTCCTTCTGTGCCAAATATCAATGTCAAATCAGCATTAAACGCAGTGTCCTCCACAACAAGTGCAATGTTACGGGTAATGCTCCGTGGTGTCTGGTTTAGTCTGGGTACTTTCATGTTTGTTATTGGCCTGGGCTATCAAATCACTGAGCTTCTTCCTCAAAAATAATTTTAGGTCGCTATACCTTGTTACACACTATTTAAATAAAATTGATTGCACTGATACATTCTGACATTCTAACTAGTAGTACATTCTGTTTTGTCAGTAAGGTAACCAGAAGTGTACCACAGTTTACTGATTGCAGAACTAGACGATATAGCCATTAACAAACCCTTAGGTGAACTTGCAAATCATCCAGATAGACGTACGTTAGTGCCTAGTGGAATCAAACTGTAGAGTCAAAGTTATTCATAGCCCTTTTAACAAGCACCTAGAACCGTTTGCAGAATTTGATCAGCAAGGACGCGTTTTACGCAATGAGAGGATAAGCACAGGCTGCAGTGAGGCATCCAAGCCATGGCAAGTGTCTAGAACTGGCGTCGTGGACAATCCCTTCCTCGATCTTCTTCGCTGGTCGCCAACAATTGAGTTTAAATTTACAAATCCATTGGTGAGTAATAAATGCACGTGACCGTCTGATTTAATATTTATGTCCCTTGACTATTTTTCGAACTGCGGATGTCATCAAACTTATGGGATTTGAATAAGAGCTGAATTCTCTCAAATTTGCAGAAATAATTCCCACCTATGCAAAATATATGGAAAAAATGCAATAAGGCAAACTTAGTGTTGTCCTTATTCGTTTATATAATTCACAGATTTCTTGCTTCCTTTCTTTGCATAACTGGTTTAGTTCCATTGACTTAAACACCAACAGTTTGAGCCACACAACATCATGTTAAACTAGGACCTGAATGTGACAAGCACAATATTATCTGAAACGTAACGCATGCCACGTGGACCTTCCAGAGCACTTAACTAAAACATCATTTCATACTCAACCCTATTAACACAAAAAATTATAGTTTTAAGACACTTACTCATATATTTTTTTACTGTAGATGAATTGTCAAAGTGTGAATCAATTGTTTGATGTAGGAAAAGTTAATGAAAACGAAGCTGGTCTACCTTATCCAAGAGAATGGAAAAGCGACTCAGAAGTTTTGGGAACATTTTCTCTACTTTCCTCTTCCATTTGGAAGTAGGCTGTTTCTACCACTTTGTTACAAACATGCACCCACACAAAATTATTACCGCTCTTAAATGTCTGTATTAACATACTTGAAGTTGATACCTTTCGAAGAACCAATTTAAAATGTTGTTCGCGTTGGATTTAAACTGAGTCGAATTTGTCAATCTGCTAATCAGTCAATCTCTCACTACACCTAAAATTGTTTGTCATTTAAGCTAGAGTTTAAATTTTTGACCCATAAACGCAATGATACCTCAGTATTTTGGATGTTTGAATTGCAAGTGTTTGCAACTATTATGGAACGGGCGCAGTGCTCACAACCAAAGTGAACAATTTCGCCGTTAATGCACTGCTTTTTGAATTTTAGGAAACAGGATAGAGCCCACCAAGCATTTTATGCCCCAGTAGCATGTGTTGAACTCAACTCAAGAGTCGGAACCGTTTCAGGTATTTAGTCCTACATTCCTGACATATTTTAACAAAGTAAGACATACCAAGCTTAGCACATTGCGTTACTTTATCATGGAAGACGTTTTAAAAAAAACCTCTAAACAGATGCTACTTCATTTGCACCATACTAACAAAGGCTATTGCATTTCTTTTGATAACAGGTTTAGTAAAGGATGGAATCCCAGTTTATCCATATCGAGGTTTGACACTTGTTTGGTCTGCTCGGTGGGAAAAAAGGGTTTCTTCGAAGACCTCGCTTGAATATTTTGGCATGAAGTACCTGAACATAGAGGTCAGGTCCTTGAAATCGTCGTGCATCAAATTGAACATCAACTGTGATGAAATTTGTACGGTATGCATTGTACATTGTTTTGTATTGCTGGGAGCAAATATACGCACACGCCTGCGGATGTTTTGATGATTACTAAAAGTATAAATTGGATTTAGCAGAAAGCTTGCTGGTCCACCTCTGAATTAAAAAAAATTGAACCAATGTGATATTAGGAAATTTTTGGAATAATGGCCAGTGCAATTTTTTCAGAAACTGTACCCTTTATAATCCGATAAGAAAACGTGAAAAGCACTATTAAATTCACTCCAGTTTATTTTCTTTTGTCTGTCTTGTTTTTTTCAAACGCATGTAATTTGTACTTTACAGGCACATCAGAGATGTGTTTACAGTTTTTTAACTAAACTTCTTAGGTCACGTTGAATCTAAAAATTGCAAACTACGAAACAACAGGGACATACATACTTCCGAGGACGTTGAAAGTTGACGAGACGACATTCAGACAAAACGCTTCATTTGCTCTTTTAATGGATGGACCCGAATTTATGCTGGACTCTACCGGCTCTGCCCTCAAAAGCAGACGTATTCGACTGTTCTATAATGGTCGCTTAATGATTTTGGGGCAAATTAATCAACCTAAAATCCAGCATCTGACAAAGGCTGCCTGCAGGCCCACAAAGTTAGACGTTTCCGTCCATCCACAAACCAGCACCAATGACAATGAATGTGACTTGGTGGTTAAGGTTGGCTACCTTACCAATTTGTTGTAATCAAATCAATTTAAGCATTTAGAAAACGGCTTGTTAGACAATTTTTTTAAGTAAAATTGTTTTAAACGAAGTAGGAATATGTGTGAACGAAAACGTGTTTGACAATTTGGACATCGAGGACTTTCCTATTCGACAAATTGCCAAAATTCATGCTATAGCTTTGTCGAACTTCTGTCTTTATTTGCTCTAAAGCTTCACATACATTTCTAATATATTCACTTTTCTACTTCCTTGTACATTGACCTACTAATCGCCAGACTACTTAATGTTTTACATTCGCTGTAAGCACTGACCATGAATGATGTCTCCATTTTCTTTCAACTCAACGTAAGGAACACTTATTCGAAGACGAAATTGGACATATGTGGCCCTAGAACTCTGGGTTGAGGTGCCATCGTTTGCCTTTCAAGTCAACAGAAATTGTTATTTGTAATTGGTGAAATAATTACACAAAGACGAAAACTGCACACTTTTTTTCCTTGGGGCACTGCGAATTCGCTTGTCTTTAATCTCTTTTTAGCTATACAACTGGCCCGATTATGATATTGTGAGTGGATCCAAATCGAGGCGGGAATCGGCTTGGGCAGTCGTGTCACAGCCCTGCAGTTACACTGCGATGCTACCTCCTTTCAATCCATCCCAAATATTTGATGTTAAAGCAATTCAGGGCCAAATTCTCGGATATGCGAATGACACTGAGTACGTTATTCCAGCATATTCATTTCCAGTTATGTAAAAATTGTACCTAAGTTGGGTATGATCGACTGATCTGTAAAACTAGGTAAAATTCTGGAAAAAAATTTTGAACGATGGACTGATGATTACATTTTTAATTAGCTACCGCAACGGAAACTATTGCGAGTGTAGATCCTTTTCTTTATTGCAGTCAGCAACCCATCGTTAGGAAATGGTCATTTTTAAATGAAGGAAATATCTGGAACATGTCCTAAGCTCAAGCTCTTAAAATGACCAATACGGTGGCTCTTTTGGTTTAAGGTTTATTTTAAAATACTTATCAGTAGCCCTAAAATGTCATATTATATTTAGCAGACGCAGAATCTCTGATGGTGTTTCTAGCTTTTTGCTTAGTCGCGTGTTATGATACGAACCACTGCAGCTGACTTGAGTTTTCTTCTAAAAGCGCTTAGTACTTCTCCATTACTGAACCAAAAACAGCATCTTCTTAGTCACCAGACGTTCTCTTTCATGTTCCATAGGAGGTTTTTCTGGGCTGCCGATCTCAAATTGTGCCATTCTGTCTGCACCTATGCAAGCACATTTCCTCGCCCAGGCAATTTCGATCCTTATCAGTTTGTTTGTCAAGTAGGTAAGTACGCCACTTTAACAGAGAATAAACTGCTGACTTACTACTGTACAAAACATTCCGAACTTTCAACATGCTTCCATGATTAATTACTCAGAAGAGGGAAACTGCAGTTTAAAGTTTATTTTTAATAAGAATGGGTGCGTTGTTTTCTAACAATCATTGCCAAATTCCATAGACGTTTTACTTCACTTCTCACTATAGCTTCATTTAGTAAGTACACATTGTCTGCTATACAATCAACTTCCAGACACACTGGTATTTATGGGTTGAATTGGAAACTTTTTGGTCACTTGGAGAAGAATTATTTTAACATATATTCAAAAGGCGAAAGAGGTTGATCAAAACTGTTAATTTTTTAAATTATTGCTCGTTTTGCTGTAGGAAATGAACTAGTGGCCTGTGATCCAGAATTTTCCATTCCTAAATATTTTAACCCAGCCTCTGATCGTAAGTTTGCCAACACAACAGTTAAAATTTTTTGTTGTATGGTGACTTTCGAAAATATGCAATGCTAACCATATTTTCTCGTTAGATTTAAACATCCAACTTTGTGGTTCCCTGATTTTAAAGCTGAACATGTCTTCTGAATTTAGATCTCAGGCAACTTTTAGCCCATAAAGTCTCTTAAAGAATATTTTCAGCCACCTACCTAACAACCTCTCCAAGCCCATAACTGTATTGCATGAAATGCGTGAATACTTGGAAGGAATGCGTTTAATTCTTACCAAATATCCCTGAACAGGTCTGAAAATTGCAACATAAATTAGCCTTTGACATGTTCCTCTTTTGCGAGTACCTGAAACGATAAAGGCCGGAAGATAAGGCTGCTTTGCTAAAACCTTCTTTATCCATCTAAATGGTCTTAGTTTTCTCTGGGCTCTCTCCTTCACTATCTCTTTTACACAGCTTTAGCGGCACTTCTGTGAATCCCGCCAACATATTATTAAATTCCACGGCAGCCCATTTTTTTTATTTGTTCTGCTTCAAAAATTTTTAAAATTTTCTTCCAGAAAACAGTATTTGTTGCGATTTATACCTTTATGCCTACGTGAATGCTTAGGCGACTCGCAGCTGTTGCGCTGCTTTCCCTGACAGTGGTTTCAAGCTTCTTTGCAGTTTTTTGTTAAGAAAAACGTTGTTCTAATGAGTGACTTTAATTTAATATCACCTAATTACGGTGGAGAAAATTGCCATGCTTACTAGACATGAAGCAATATCTACATTTGTAAGTATTCCAGTCGCAAAAACTTAAGATCACAACTCCTGTATCGATGAGAGACCGTAGAGATCAGAGGCGTGTACTCAAGTAAACAGTGAGCTGGTTCGGTGTAATAAGTAAAAATTAATCTAATCACGTATAAACTCGATGGTTAACTTGAAGCATAGAGATTCACGAAAAAGTCGTCGGTTGCTATTTTGCTCAAATTTACACACTAAAGGGTAAGGGACTGTGAAAAACGAACGAGTCAGGTAACTCCTTTTTCTTACATTTTAGTAACCGATGCATCTGCAAAGCAGTTTATTTTATCCAGTAACTGCAAGTATTCTGCTTTTATCTACCTTTACGCACAAACGTGGAAGTTCACTGATTCCCAAAGTAGGCTTGCTTGACTGTGCATTTAGTTACTGCAGGAGGATTCGTCATAAAATTTTACCCGAACCCTTTTGCACCCAGCACCATGAACATTTGCAACTGAAACAACCATATCGTCGTGGCAGTCCTCCCTGCCTCTAGGTTTTAATTCAGTTACAAAAAAATCAGATCCTGCTACCCTCTTTGTCCCAGTCGTGACTTGAAAGTACTATCTAGTTAACACATGCTTGGTTTTATTTTCATTGATAAACAAATACTAGTGCACTCATTAGTAAAACACAGTAATTTTGGACTGGTTCATCAAGGTAACTAGTAGGAAGCAATATCAACACTGCGTGTTATTTAACCAATTTAACAATTTGAAATGAAAGTTAATGAACCTGACTTCGCTGGTGTAGTCTTATATCGCATATCAAAGTCTTCCTATTTCAGAACTTGTTCATTCATGCTCTGGGGATGTGCGTGCTCAAGGTAATTAAAAAGCATGTTTCACAGAATCTCTTTATTATTATTTTTTCATTCAACTCTTTTAAACCACATAAGGGCTTTGCTTTGCATTGTTTACCAGTTTGCAGTTTCATCGAGTGGTAAAGAAGTTTTTTCAGGAAAACAGGACTGATAATTGGAAAAGACTATTAATTGCTATGGACTTCATCATTGAGAGTGTTCAAACATCCAACCCGTTATAAGAGAGACAAAGTTGAGCTGCTGGTAAAAAAAAAACTAGACTTCAATGCATCTATGCATTGAAGTCTAGTTTTGAGCCAGGCAGACTTTAGAGGAATTGAAAAAATAATCTGTAAATGGTCTAATTAAAAGGGCACTACTTTGCCATGATCACGGATTTACTGTAATGCTTTACCTGCATGGTTGTAGCGAACTGGTCTCAAAAAGTAAACATCAGCGACCACGGGAAGATAGAGTGCAAAAATGAGTCCTTTCTTCACGTGCTGAAGTAAGTTATAGTTATTTCCTTTAAAAATTTTGGGTTAAGTAACTGTTCAGGATGAAGGGTTGGGTGACACGACATGTGCCAATGCACGAAAGATCGGCCATATTTCCAGTTTTTGCTGATCTTCACCCCAGCCCTACTTGCCGCACTACTGTTAACCCCGTCGAGACTCGGATGGACGAAATTCGGCTTGATGTGATCCCCGTCGTGGAGCCCTGCAGAAAATCACCTGGCCAACATAAGGTCAGACTCCGTTCGGCCTCAACTAAGCAGAACAAACCACGCGCATGTCCGCCAGGTCAATTTCTGACCAAAGTTCCACCCAAAACGGTCTGATATTCAAGTATTTTCTTCAAAATCATGTTCCTCTTTTAATTCGCAATAAATTAGAATTGACGCCCAGTTATCTGAAATGAAAACCAATTCGCCTCATTTTACAACCTGAGGCACCCCTGACTGACACAGATAACAGTGTGGTCTGATTTGGTGATAATACATTGAACATAAAATGGAAGTTAATATATGGGTATACGCAAAGGGTTGCAACGATTTTTTGTGACTGCTGTATATTGAAACAGAACACACCAAGTTGACATACCCAAATATTAGAATCTGTATTGTAAGTAATACATTAATTTCGCAACCGATTGCAACTTGTTAACTCTTCAAGAACTTTGTAGCAAACAGATATCAGCATCAATTCATTTTTCTATAATTAAAGTAATCAACACAAAAACCAAAACACTTGATTAAAAAAATTACCAAGGCAATTCACGTGATCAAGAGGTATTCATGTAAGAATCGCGATTTTTGAGTTGATATGCGTTAATTTCTATCATGAAAGTGGAAGCCAGAATCCTATAATAAGTGATCCTGTTGTCTTACAGTGTGAGCCTTGTCCAGTGAATACATTCTCGGATCCTGATACACCAAACGAGGAATGCTTTCCTTGCCCCGATCTTCGACCTTCCACAAGAAATCTACCTGAACGTTCATCCTTCCACTGCACAAATACTTTGTTGGACAAAGAGCGTGAGGTAAAAATTGAAGGAAACACTTGCTTTCCGTTTTAAATCTTTTTCATACTATTGAGGGCATTTGAGCATGAATGGGGTCAGTTAGTAGCCCGAGGAGGTTTCGAGTATGTTGTTAGTGCAAGAAGCTCCTTTAATACATTTCTTTGATTAAATGCACGATATTAATTATATCCAATAATGAACAGCCTCATGTATTTTCATCTCACTGACCACCCTACCGTGACCAGATGCTTCCTATTTTAACCTTGTTTCATAACCTTCGTCTGTAAAGTTATCATTTTTTGTATGTGCTAATTTATTGTGGCATTCCCTAGTGTCCGTTTGCTGAAAAAATATGACCTTTTAATATCTTCAGCGTTTAGTTTCCAAAGCATCTGGGCTAACTGTCAAAAACCCGGTAAACCTAGTCAAGGAGTCCTTCCTAGATGTCGATACAAAAAAATACTTAAATGATAGCTCTTCCAATGAGAACGAATTACTTCGATATTTATCACCAGATCCAAAACTACTAAAGGAACAGGCCGTGGCCGAAAAAATTTTTAAGGTGAGGTGCTTATATCTGTATTATTTATCAGCTGATGGAGGTGCGTCATTTGGTGATGAAGAATGTTAGATACCATTAAAAGGATATATTTATGCATCCCAAATCTTACAAATAGAACAATCTCAGAAACCAAGTGTCAAGGAATATCTCACCACAAGAATCCTTTGAGATGGCATTAAAACGCTTTTATCAACTCAAAATATTCAGTAAACTTCGGTTGAAGTCACATCCCAGTAAATGAATGCTTTCTCACACACGAGCCAAAAGTTCAATAAATTAGCATAAAAAGAAAAAATAATTGCATAACGCATCACATGCTGAAAAAATTAATCCATTTTTGGAAATGAAAGACCCCGTTGATAAAATCTCAATCATTCATAATAACATCAATCAAAGGAAGGAGTCATCTTCCAAGCTAGAAAACCACCACAACCACCATTGATAACTGAATTTTATCAAAATTAAATGGGATTACTAAAGTAGCGCACACTTTATGCTGCTTTCAAAAACCATTTAGCGGATTCCTGTGTGTATTCTCGATAACTAATAAGTATGGTTCATGCAGTCGATACAAAGGAATCGGGCGCCATCTTCACCCACTTGTCAATAATTTGTTGATACTTGAAGGGAATTTATGTCACATTCAACTCAACGGTCCTGACCAAACACCATTAGATAACCAGTTACTTAGAAATGTACATAATCAACAGAATAATTAAATTTCTATGAACGACAAGGACATGAAGTCGAACTTGATAAAGTTGTCTGCTGACAGATATCAAGAGTAATGTGAGCACATATAATGAAGTTGTCAGAAAGAGATAACATGGTTAGTGGAGTGAATCGTAAATAAATGGTTTATTGGAGTTAGATACTTGTATTCAAGAGAAATTTTATCGTACTTTAAAACTTAAAATGCCTCTTGGATGTAGATAACTTGCTAGTTTAATTGACATACTTGGATCGGTCATTTTCATTGTTGTTTCTTCGATTAAAGTTAACCGATTATTTTGACGAAAGCAGGTCGAAGCGCTGTTTTACCAAACTTGAATTTTGAAATGCAGCATTCTGGGGTCATAGTGCATCACGTCAGGAAATAGTGGATTCAGCATTGGCTCTAGGTCTTTAAAATAAGTTTTCACAAAAAAAATTTGCATCAATTTTTATTCAATTTACTGTTGCTGACTCCTGGTCTTTGAACGACTAGTTGCAACGTGAGTCATGGAGACGGAAGACATTCTTTTTTAATTTGACCCTTTTGTACGTTTTAGGGAATAACGCAGCTTACATTTTCGCATAATGAAATCTACAGCATTTTTATAGTAGCAATATCATTAGCGTGTACAGGAGCTGCGATAACTTTCATTGCTGGAATCGGCGGCCGCCGATCATTGTACACTAATCAAAGAGAAAGCATTTTCACGCGATGTTTTAAGTGGCTTCGACAGCGTATCCAGCGGATTTCTCTTGCGGTAAATTTTTTGTATAAGTTTGCCAAATTAATGTAATTCAAAGAAGTCGAATCGCATTATAAAAAATCGAAGATTAGGTGGAATTCTTTTTAACCCTCTATTTTGTAATAGTTATTTTTGAGTTGATGTAGGTTCCAAAAGATTTGAGCATAATTGGTTTGGATAGACTCGTTTACACAAAAATAACCCAACGATTATAACAGTAGTCCACACGTCTGCCTTTAATAAGATTATACCTACAATAAATGTTAAACTTTTAAAGTTTAACAGATTGAAATCAGAATATTTATATCGGTGGCGGGATGCTCGTCCGTCATGGAAGAGACTAGAAAGCCTCGCTATGCGCAGTGGAAATATTTACCGAATCGAAGAGGCCGCTCGAGCACAAGCAGAGGCACAATATTACGCCGATTTGCTTGAAAGTCTTGTTGATACGATAACAAGTGATGCAAGCTCAACACGCGAGTTCCCCAGAAGAGCGTTTTCTAGTTCTTCTAAAGCTCTTAAATTCCACGAACCGAGGCACACTAAGTCAGAGTCTCTGCAAACCTACTTGAACAAATTGAAAGGCAACCCGAAGGTGCCTGATTATTCTTTTTTCCAGGAGTTTAAGAAACCAAATTAAACAAAGTTTAAGAGTTCAAAAAAAGCTTACAATGTCTAATACAGTCTTTTCAATTAAGCCTATTTCTTACATAACGCTTTCTTGTCAAATATTTATGGAAATCGATATTGCAGATCTGTTGGCGATATAACCATTATTTATTTACTCTCCAAATTGTAAAAAGTCCGAAACTGAATTAGATTATGTAACTTGAATAGAAGTTAAATCAGCAAAATTATGTATTAAGTTTTGGGAACAGCGCTCCTTTTAATTTTTAATGGGGCTGTAGTTGAAAATAACAAATTCTTACAGCATTTTCAGCAAAATATTTTACCGTATATATTGTTAGATATCAAGCCTATATTGAGGAAAAAGTAGATTTATTTTCTCAACATGCAGTTTTCTACGCATTCTGTGGCAGATAATTCGTGGGCATTTTCAACAAACACTGTCACCTAGACAATTAAATGAAAAGATCTAGAGCAATTATTGGAGAGGTTCGTTAAGAGAAAAAGCCTTTTCTCAGTGAATCAAAATAAATCTGGGTGGTATGTATTTGTAAGTACTTAAACACATAGAATAATTAGATGACGAATTTTGGGGAGGAATAAGTTTATTGAAAATCTATTCGTTTGAACTTTATAGTCCTATTTAATTTAGTGGCATTAATGTTTTGGATGAAAAAATGTAGCAGCCAAAAGATTAATTTTAAAATTGTGTGTTTATTGTCCTTTGGAGTCATTGGGCCCGATAAACGTCAATACTAAACGCTGATTACCGCATCTAAGAAATCGGTTAGATTAAACGTGTTCACTAATACTTCAAAGAACTAAAATATAAGGCTAACACAATAATTCAAAGTATGATATTACCTACAACTGGTTGTCTGCCTCCTAAATGGATAAATTTTAGATGAATATCTATAAAGAAATGACCTATCAGTGCTTTTAGTTTACCTCACTTTTATAGCAACTGTTAGGCGCATCAAACGAATAATAATGTCAACCAAACAGTCTGCTTCTCAGAGGCCTTTTGATCCTTTTTATGGTAAATTCAAAGTCAATACATAAACAATAGACCTTACATTTACTTTTTCTTGTAAATCTGATCATGAGCGTGCTAAAGTCAAGGGCACTGAAATGATCAGCAGTTATTTAAAGCAGCCAATTTTTTCTAATATGTTTAGTGAGGTCAAAAACCATAAGCCTCTCAATGAAGTTAAAGTTGTTGGGTATCAGCCGAACATACCAATCGTTTCAGAATTGGATGAACGAAGTCAGGACATACGGGAATACCTAAAGTAAAATACTAGCATTTATAATTGTATTTAGATTCAAATATCTAGCCCATTTTTCGGCAACTGGTATATTTCGTGCCAAGCACTTTGGCGTCCCTAACTTTAGTGCTGGCAGAGCTGTAAGCATTTTTATATTGTTTTATCATGACAAATTACCTTTTGTTAAATAAAGAAACAAATCGTAAGAGGAAACATGCACAAATTACTCTGCGCCTTTTGTAGTATGTTGGCAGTGTTACTGTTTGAGTTACTATACTCGTTAAATTCCTATATAACAAATAGTTTTTCGAAAAATTCATTTGCACAAATTATTAAGTGCAACGGATTTTCTTTAAAGACCATATCTAGACTCACCCTGCAGATTTTGGGAAATTAGAAGCAACCGTCATTGAAATAGTCACATACTTGTAAGAACTTGCTGGCTGCGTGCTTGGTCAAATACAGCCACGTAATTAATTTAAAATTTCTAAGAGCTGCAGACACGGTAAACTTAAATATCGACTGATATTTTTGGACTTCCCTTTCTAATTAATAGTTTTCGTTCCAGACATATCATCGTTTTTAAATGCATTCAATGAATCGTGGTGTCAGTTACTGTTCTTCTACTGTAATAGTAATTTGTTGCAAGCATCTTTCAGGATCATTCGAATTTTTAGATAATGAAGGACGATCAATTAAAATGGGCAAATGAAGGAATGTCGCAACTTAACTCAACAAAAATCACGACCAGTCGGTTCCTTAACCGCAGTGTCCAGACTAAGTTTCGTGATTCAGAAGCTCAAACAGACCCTTACTCGCCCGAGTACACCATCCCTGCCGGTGAAATCCCGCAACTGTTGTTGCTAATCAACTTATCTTACGGAAGAGGGCTGCCAGCTGGTCAAAAAGAAGTTGAATTAATTGAACGGGCCCATAAACGAATTATTGAGGAGGAAAAAATGACTAAAATGACCCATAAGCAACGTATTCGTTACCGAAATAAGCTCGAACAGGAGGAGTGGGACTACAGAACTAAAGAAATCGAGGCGTATGTTACTTTTGTAGTAAATGGTATTTAATTATGCAATGTATTAACTTTTATTTGTGATATAAAGCAATACATATAAAAACATTGACCCTTACAGATTGCAGGAACTTAGACTACAGGCGCTCGCACAATTGCTTCGTATAAGAGAAGAAAAGCGTCAAGAATTGGTCTCTCAGTGGATTGATCGACGCTGGAAACGCCGACAAAAGCAGAAAGAAGAAGCTATCAAAAAAATTCGTGCAGAATATGCAGCCGGTAGTCATTTTGGTTAATGTGTATGGGTTTTGATATTGTTTCTGGGGGTTGTGCTAATGGGATTTTGTGTCTGTACGAAAAAGGCATGAAATAATTGTCATGTTACGCATTAACGTTGGACTGAAAAGTGAATGCAGGAACCTAGCAAAAGCACCAAGTAAAGTCGCATGTTCTAGAAATTGCTGAAACTGTGAGATCTACCTTTGCGAAATTCTCCTACTGACCTTAGACCTTTAACAAAAACCTTGTTTTAAGCTCGTCAGCAGTTTGATATCAAGGGAAATGAGGCCTGACGGAGGCTTAAGGTCAACCAGGTCACTATTAGCTACTTAGATAACAAAACCTAGGGTTGGGGTAGACTGAGTTTTTTGCTAGCTCATGAAGATCCATTTCTACTCAGTGTTTTGTTCAAAGTTGCAATGAAGCAACAGCGACAAAATGCAGGTTGCTTGAAATTGTCCAAATTTGCAATTACGAACAGCAGCCTGAAATATGCCTAGTCTGTGAGATGGTTTTCCATAAGAGCTATGTTTTGGTGAGCAAATTTATTACTGGTCTAAAATCTAAGTACTAATAGTAAAAATTTCATTAAATTTGATAGAGAAATACATTAAACTAAACTTAAGTGCAACCTCATACAAACCTGGCAATACATCTGATCAACTGACTAGTGTAAAAACTGAAGTTTTTACTAAGCAAGTGAGGAAGAAACAAGAGTTCCTTACTTGGACAGAAAGTCAATCGAAAAGAAGTTAATGGTAATCTAAGCGTGATTGTGTAGAGTTTATGTGACTTTAGGAATACATGGCCTACTGCTACATCCACAGGGCTAATGTAGACATTATATTTAGTGTAGTTGAACTTTAGCAGTAAGAATTTTCCTTTACTTCCTGTTGCGTAACTTTTCAGCTATTCGGCAGATGCTGCGTAGTATGGATCGACAGCGTAAATTATCAAAACCCGACAAAATCACAATCTACTCACAGCCAGGATCGCAGGCATATGCGCCTCTTACTCGAATCGGTGTTTTTCCTGACCGTGGGTCCGAGCGTTACAAAGTTAAAAGTCACTTTTTGGAGTCGTACTCAGGTTGGTGGTGTTGTTTATACCCACTGTCATAATTGCAACATACTAGCTTTGATTTTATTCATTGCACCGTTTTTCGCAGCATTGTTAACTATGGCTTATAAAACGTGTTAATTTACTAGGGCTCCTGGAATTAGAGAAGTTCATTCCAGAAAGAATGATTGATCATCCCATTGCAATAAAGAAGCCTTCGAAATTTACCAAGGACGGCTTCCTCAAACGCTCATATCGTTGGCAAACTGAACTGGAGTCACTGCACGAGGTATTACACTGATAGCGTTTTATCTACTTTCATATAATTGAGTAGACAAATGTTTTGAGCGCCACTTTTATTTCGCAGTTCATGGCGTCTCTCGGTCGAAGTGAAGTTAATGCAGCAAAACCAATGAGGTTCCTCCATAAAATCGAAAAGCCTGCTCCACGTCCATCAACTCCATCAGTTCCTAGAGTCGACGTAAGTCCTGCATGCCTTTGGCTTTGATTAATGTCAAGCAACTCATTCATAACAAGTAAATAAACACAGTCACGATCAATTTGGCATAGCACATCATGTCCAAAACTCAGCTTGAATAAAGTCTCCCAATTAAAGTATAAGTAGGTTTTTTTGCCATTTTATCTGCAACCATTTTCAAGTCATACAAATGCCTTGAAATGTGCTTTCTTTGTTAACAGAAAGTACAAATGGCGGGTGAGTTGGCGATTATCGAGCTGCAACGCATGCTTCGCGGTCGAGCCATGCAGACGATGATGCACGAGGCCCGCGGAAAGCGCCAATTGCTGATCGATGAACTTCGATCAACACACGCCGTTACTCGTGATGATCGTGCAGAGAAGAGGCGACAGATGTTGACTGTTCGTACCGACCAAACACGCTACCAAAATCTACGACACGAGGTTGGCCCTTTTTATTTGCTCCTAAATACGTGAATCGTAAGAAGCTTCGTCGTCTTAATCGACTTGGAATCAAATGTTTGCCATAAGGGTGTGGGGTACGTAGTACATGGGGGTGTGATACTGCAAAGTAGTTAGGTGCAGATTCTGACGTCAGCAGGTCGTACATGCCTCTGCTAGAGCCGTAAACGTATGCCATGTTACCCACAACTGACACTGTAACTGTCTAGCCAGACATTCTTACCATGAGTATGTGATCTCATCTTTCGCAGCTATTGGAAGGAATAAAGCTTACTCCTCTGAACTTGAGGGACGAGATCCAAAAATACTTTTCAAAATTGTTATTTATCGGTTTTCTAATCACGAAAAGAGTACTACAGTGTTCTTTATCGTAGATAAGTAAAAAACTTATAACAATAAACTTAAAATTTGTTTAATTTAAAGCGGGGCTTCATTTTTCACACTAATCCCTTTCGTGTCTGCTTTATATTGGAACTTTGGTCGTAAATTCCCCATTTAGTAATTTATTTTTCAGTTCAACGTGATGAATCTTGACTCACACATTAGAAGCTGTGAGTCTTCAGTGATTACCATAAGAGTCCACCCACTCCTAGCGAAGACTAATTAAAGACGTTCGTTTTTAAACAAGTGCATGGCGATTTAAATTGGTCCTGTCACGTGATTTACAACTATAAAAACAACATTTATTTATTGTTTTAGGACAGCCTTTCACATGAGATTCTAGAACGTCTCGATTCTACCATTCTCGGAGACATGTTGGACTTTTTAAGCAAAGAGTTGGATCGCTTAATTGTCGACCAACGCATCCGAGACTACATGCGAGAGGCGCAACGAGAGCGACGCGTTCGCGAGGCCGAGGAGAGCGGCAAACGGCAGTTCGAGGAGCGACGACGACGCGAGACCGATGAATATTTCAGACAGGTACTCAGAGTAAACGCGGAAGGCAATGGAGGCACCCTAGCAGTGCAGGGAAACGCCTTCTAGATTTCAACCAGAAAAGAGCTCTTGCCCCTTCCTACGGTGCAGTAAAGTCTAGTTCTTATTAAAGCCCCAGTCTTCATTCTTGTCAACCGCAATGACTGGCTCCATCGTCCACAGACTAGAAGTAACAAACTTGAAGTTTTCATTCCTGTTTACGGTGCAAATGTTGTCAACGTCGAACAGAAGCATGTTTTGTGGTTTGTAAGGAAAATTAAAGAAAGTTTATTGGCACCATTTAATTTGCGAGGCACTTGGAAGGTCATTAGTTTCCATGTTTAAAAAAAGGCAAGTTCTCCGCTGAAACCTTATGTGACCTTATTTGCACTTTAAATTGCCTAAAGTCTGGACATTAAAAACATTGGCTGATTACAGCAACTCATACATGTTCAGTCGAATTTTAAAAAATAAAACAGGAGGCTTTAGACATTCGCCATACAATCCCGACAGCTAAAGTTTACTTCAACATTGCAGGGCTTTGTAAGTAGTATGTAGTGTTAAAATAATACTGTAGAGACGTGCTAAGATGGCGGAACAGACCTATGTCTTCCTTACTTCAGGTTATCAAAGTACACCAGGTCTCTGTTGATGGATTCTTCGACTCCTTCATGTCCACCACAATCGAGTCATCCGCCGAAGTGCAGGCTGTTGAGGAGTTTGAGAAGCTCGCCAAGCGTTGGCCCGTTGAAGTGCGCAAAAAAGAGCAACAACTCTCGCACGAAGAAGAGGCGGCCGATCTCGTCTACAATTTTCTCATTCCTGAGGCAAGCCTCTGTTTAAATCTGCTAAATAGTTCTCAGCTGAAGTACTTTGATTATATAAACCACACAAACAGGGATAGTCTCTAATCTAATGTCCTGAAGTGGAATTCAGATAAAGTAACCAACAAACAGATTGCACGGCCAATTTTAAGGAAATATAAATGCCTGCAATTTGGGTATTTAGACGATTTTTATTTGGGGGTTTTCGTTCATACTTGGGTTGGATATTTTACCTGCATTCTAATCGCACTGAGGTGGCCCCTCGCCACACGTTACAAGGCAACAAATAAATTACCATGGTAACCGAGTGCAGGGAACTTCGACTTTTGTGACTGCCTTACGCTGATGCCTTTATTTGATCATTTTTTGGCAATTTGAAGCCCCTTCTTAAATACCAGTGCGAATAATGGCGTAGTTCACTCCATTAAACGCCAGCGATAAGGAGTTTGAGTCAATTTATAGTCCACAGGCATTACTAAGGCTGATTAACACCCACAATTAGACCATTGACCTTGTGACAAGCGATTTCGAGGAAACTCAAGTACGTTTGACTTTCCTTTGCAGAGTTTATTATTGACGTTTTTAAAGGCTGAAAATACGAGAAAATGGAATGGAGGAAGTAGCAAAAATTGGACACTGAAGGGCCGTCTAGTTGCTAAAGCGGCAAACCTCGCCATCGAATCTATAAGATACCGTTGCTTTTTTGGCGAAGTTCAGTGAGCCTTGTACTTAAGAAAAATTCCTTTTTTTAAAAAAAAGAGCAGCAAGCGTTGGCTATAACCGAACATGGAAGCCTTGAACTCTTCGAATTTGTAAGGACACATTAAAAGGGTACTTGGAAAAGGATAAATTAATTCGCTAGGATGAGGCTGGTGCAAAATTAATTTTTTTCTCTCGTTTCCTTTGCATTTGGGCCTGTTACCTCAATTTACAACTCGATTACTTGTCTATGCCAACCTATCCAGTTACAGTAGCCAGAATTGTGTGACAAAATGTTAAGGGCTTTTCCCCCACAGCTGTCTAATGACAGTTAGTCACATTGACATGCCGCACAGAAATCCTTTCATTTGAAGGTATTTGTTTTTGTTTTTTTTTATCTTTAAAGTGTCCTGCAAAAAAACAATTTTTTGGCATTTACTATTACCTAGTTTAAATGAAGTTATAGGAACAGTAGAATCTCCTACCGAATCACGTCACTAACATTTGAGTCCTCCTTAACACGAATTTGACCATTCCATTGAGAAGGCAACTTTACTCAAGAACCGGAAACAGATCTGACCATGGGAGAAGTGATAAAATACCCCTTAACACAATATTTTAAGTACTTCGCACCTGTAGCTCAAAGTTTGCCTTATCGTAACTTAACGCTTAATGGGCGTCCATCTTATTAAAATGCTCGGCCGTTTTTCTATATCTAGTCAATGGCAAGATGAGAAAGTATTAACAATTTAGGCGCAAGATGGCCACAATGTCCAAATCTGAATCCTCGGGAAAGTCGTGACGCAGGTTTTTTGATTTGTCCCCAGGTTAATCGCAGAGCCTACAAGGCTTTGTTGGATCAACGCGAGAGAAAGTATCTACACGCCGCTCATAGCGAGATTTTCCAAGAAGTCGAAACAGGCTCACTGAGTACTGAAATTCGCGACTATGAGGACAACAGGACGGATCAAGGGACATGCACTGAGAACCCAGAATCCGAGAACAATAGAAACCTCAAGGAGAATGCGTCAAAGAAACCGTAGTTTGCGTTTATGATCGCGCTGAAACGGCAGAAACTGCAAGAAGAAAAATAAATGCCATATATTGGCTGACGAACGTTTCTTGAGTCATCTTGTTTTGTGGGAATTAATTTACTCCGTTAAACATTTTCCTAGCACGAAATGCATAAAATACAATGTTTTAAAGGTAGGACATTTTCCCATTTACTACTAGGGGTTACTTAACACCCGTCCAAAAGAGTATCAAGAGTTTGGGTAGAAAATTGGGCTATTGTGGACGATGTCTGAGTAAAAACTTTCTAACGCAGCAATATACTCTCAGTATTCCTTAACTTGAGCTTTTTCAAGTTAACTGTTGCACATAAAATTTTGCTTCTAAAAAACTTCACATGACGCTCTATTCAAAAATGTGTCTTGGCTCTTTCAGCGCATCTGAAAATGGGTGACCTACTCTGAAGTCCTCAATATCGTCAGTTTAATTATTTTCGAGGACGGTGCGGATGTCTTTAATCCTCAACCATTGACCAGATCCACGCGCTTTCACCGAGCATGTGCGACACTCTTAAAGTACACTACACGATGAGACACGGTTTAGGTTACACCCATTTGTAAGAGGTTTTGCCAAAAGTGGGTGAGGCAATTGCGCGATTTCACACATGAATTCGAACGGGGACTTTTATCCATGTATGTATCGCATTAGTGGATTCGATGAGAGTTGTTGTGAACTGAAATTCAGTACGATGAACTTACGATTTGTACGTGTGAGTTTTTTGGCACAGGACTTACATCCTCTGTTTGCGCATTAAAGCCGTACCGACACCTTTGTCTGTTGAGCACTATTTTTCGTGCTGTTGAGAGGAAAAGTGTCATCTGACATGACAGTGAAACTGTCTTTAAAAGAAGTCATTGCCTGTTCCAACTTGCAATTTAAGTTTTAGCCGCAGTTCTTTAACACCATTGGTATTATCTTTTTAAAAAAGCATATTTGGGTGGCTCCCAAATTTCCCTCGAAAAACGGAGATCAAAGGTGATGAAACATTTCATATTAACATGGCTTAAAGTTCTGGAGAACTTTTTGAAAAGGGACCATGCAGGCGGGTGTAGACACACCCTACGCTAAATTGTCTAAACGGACCCAACTATGACGCCAAAATGTCGAGTTTGCCACAAAGAAGAAGTGCATTGCATTCACATTGAGTTCTTTGAAACATCAAAAGTCAATCGTAGCACTGCGCGCATATTACGAACGCGGTTCCAGACGTAAACTGAGCCAGAGGGAGAAACTAAGGGCAAGCGTCACATTTCTCTTGTAGATTCTTACCAATAGAAATGTGACGCTAATGTCATAACTAAAGGTCAGAACTAGAATTCTGAGGAGATTTTGGCAGCTTGTATGATAACAAGTTCATGACTGTCACTACTGTTCCTGTGTTGATTTACCCTGCGGGCTTCTCGCTAAGCCACTTCTCTCCGTCTCTGTGTCCATCTTAACGAGCTCCAATTTTTGTCCCTGATTGCATTGACGAACCTCGCCAGTTGGCTATGTTAGCCCACTAATGACGCATTCACCCTGCTGCTGATGCTTGCGCCTCATTACTACTCGTTAACTGCCACCTTTGACATACACACACACACACCCATATTCAGCGGTCCAAAAAGTGACTTTGCTTCCGTCGTCTTCTGACTTCTCACTCTTCGCTGGGTACTTGGTGTCGGATCGAATTGCAGCGGCAGTAATAAATTAGTTGCCTGGTTGTGAGTGTGCCACACCTCAAATTTTGCCGGCTAAATGCACCATCCATACAAACCTTATTGGTGTGACACATTTTTTTTCAAATTCAGCGACCAGTTACAAATGAAATTTTGATTTTTATGTAAAGGAAATGGCAGGGTACCGCTTGCTTGCTCCTTAAACACAATCTAAATGCGTTTGCTGTGTTGCCGTATTTTAATTTAATCAATTATTTAAAAAAAAATATTTTACGTGTAGTTTTTTAATGCCTTTCCTGCTTGAATGGCCAGAAATGCAGTCCTCTCATTGTCCCTTTTATTAAAACTGATTACTTATGTAGAATTGTTGCAACACAGGCTGGCCAATTTCAATGTTGTGCATTTTTTTGCCTCAAGAGTTACTTAAAAAGAATGTTGGGGATGCGAAAATTGCTCAAGACAATTAAACTAACACTGGGATTTTGTGACATGTTCACTCGGCTCTGTCTACAAAGTTACAGATCCGCAGTCACGTCACATCATTATTCACATTAATAACTCATCACTCAGTATTAATTACTGCACTCATCCACCTCAGATCGCCCAGGCATACATGGGTGGGCCCATCTGAGCATCTGTAGTGGGCCCCAGTGCGGTCTTAGAAACCACGCCAGGGCCGACAATCTACATTGACACGGCCCGACCGAAAGGAGAGCAGTAAATGCTGATGACGAATAGCTCAACCAATTTATTAAAACGAAAGCAGAGTGTGTGTACAGAATAACAAGTGGGTTTATATAGCTTCGCTAAGCATCGATCTCAGTACGCACGTACTTGCGTGAAGTGCATTCACGAAAATCGATTGAATAGTGTTCGCTCAAGCCTGCTGCTCGCCACACATCCACTCGACCTGCGCCTTGGTCCCAGCTTGTGCTCGAAACTTTGGCTCAGGCAGTAAAGCCCTCTACACGAGCTCTGGTCTTGTCTTGTCTTGTTCTGGAAAGCTCTCAACGTGCCAAACATGGAGTCCCAAGTATTAGCCTCGGTAAGTTTGCATCAACGTAGGGGGCAAAAAGTAAAGTTTTGGAAGCGAACACGAAGCGCTTTCGTGTGGCTTATAATCAAGCTTACATGTTTCATACTGACTCCACTCCACCAAAAAAAGTAGCGAATAGGTTTTTCGGCAAAAGAAAACTTTATTTTGCAAGCTTCGAGCTTTATTTAAATTTCTAGATGATGCATTATTTATTTTATATAAATAATTCAATTTGCACTTTGTTCTGAATAAAAACTTAAATGTCGCAACTTTCAGGAACACATCCGTTATGCAAAGGCTTAGCAGTCGAAAAGCGTTGATGATATATAAGTGAGAAATGCACTCGTGAGACCCCTGATTCGAATATTCAGGACGGTATTTAAATATTGGAATATAAAAAATTGCCACACCACACAAGAGGTAAATGTTTGGCATGTATCTTCAACGTTTAAATGTAAATTTGGTTATAACTGAACTAAACGTTAACGTTGCCAGAAGATATTGCCTTGGTATTGCATTTTTCATCAACTTCTATTCAACAAAACAGTTCACATTCAGGAAGGAAGTTGTTGACAAAAATAAGTCGGTAAGAAGAAAGCTTGCATGGTTTATGACAAAGGTCATGCGATGATTGACATTCGAGCAACCCCGCATTGCAATAACATAAACATTCACCGCTCACAAGTGGCCTAGGCAGCAAAATTTCTAATTTCCCAAAAGGATTACATACAGACAACTCATCTGTTTACACTTAGTGTGACTATCAAAACATGCAAGGCTTCTGTTTTTCTTCAGGGTTTAAAGAAGTGACGAATTTTCATATTTACTACTACACCTTTTAAGTAAACTGCTTTAACATAGTAACAGTGTGTTGCAAGAATTGTCTAGTGTTTTAGGTTTTTGGCTCACGGCACACTTGACCCTTCTTTGGCATGCAATACATAACGATCGACGAGGACAACTCATTGGGGCTCTAATACCTGTCTGGGATGTATGGCATTCTGTATCGTATTCTTCACGTTTTTGGCTGCCTAAAAGGTAATCGTCATGTCAAACACCTTACTTTAGTTACCATAGCTTCTATTAGGTTGCCATGCAACAGATTCACATTAGCATATTTCTACCAAAGATTGCCATCAGTGACAGTGTGTGAAAACCCCAGCCATCAACCACAGCAATCGGCGAGTGCAGTTTTAACATGTGATACAAAGAACAAATAAAACTTCTCAGCAGTTAAATAGGTTAGGTAAAAAAGCTTTAATAACAATGCATTAATGTAAAATCCCTGATTAATTGTGAAATACGGGATCAACTGATCAAATTCACATTGGTGATCATCCCTGCTTCATCATTAAAAAAGTTGCATAAACTCAATGATGTATATTTCGGTATTGATAAATACAAATTCATGTTATAAAATAGGTATGTTGCCAGCTGAGACAAAGCGCAAAAGGACATTTATCGAACGCTGGTAACCTTGTATATTCAAGGATCAAGTGGCGGTTTCGTTTTCGAAACTTGATTTCAATTTTCCGGACCAAAGGTGCAATAACAAACGTCTGTGAGGCTTGTCAGAAATAACTATAACCTGATTACACTTGTGTCCCGTGACGCTATTGAAGGGGCGCTGTTTCTCGCGTAAAATTCCCCTTGTGTCACGGGCCTACCGTAGGCCTGTGACGCAGTAGAAGAGAAAGGCGAGTCGTTCCGAAAATCTGAAGTCTCGTCCTCGTCAAAGTAGTCATCGTAATAATCCTCATAGGGGATGAATTTTGCATTCACGGGCTTCTTTAGTGGTGGCAAGCGCCCGTACCTATCTGATTCTTCCACCATCTCCTCCGCATCCTCCTCAAAAAACCGTCCCCGAATCGGCTGATTTCTTGGCAGTCTCGAAAAATTGGACGATTCCCCTTCCCTTCTAAACCTCCTCCCTCCTCGGGTGGATGCAGGTGCAGCATCCCTACGGTCCGCTGCAGATCCATCTTCTAATTGGATGCGCCTCAGTGTGCTTGTGGAGCGAGCTGTACGCAAGTCATCTTCAGAGCAGGAACAAGAGGAGCAGTGATAGTGCCGTTCAGCTGACTTCCGACAATAGCTGTCTTTACGATAATCTTCTTGCTGGCAAACCCATCGGTGAGAAGGTGGGGTTCTACTGTGGTTCATAGTGGTTGTACTTGATGCCCTACGAAACTCGGGATTGGTGTTAGGTAGTGCAGTTGTTGAGGCTAACCGACGCCGGCTTGGAGATGGAGGGTCAGGGTTACTCCTGTAGCCTCGTGGCCGAAGAATTTGCGGTTTCTGATTATACGCGTATGTGCTGTTGGTCCTCTCTTGACTGAATGGTCGAGAACGAACACCTCGTGTTCCTTTGTAATCCTTTTGAATCAATGGTTCCTAAATGGGTGCATTGAAATCGGGTAATATGAAACCAACAGTAAAATAGACACTGCAACACCTAAACATAGCTTTACTATCCTTTATGTATGACCTCATCGGTGGCGTGCTTTCGCAATGTCTGCCACGTAACAGATTAAATCACTTTTACCGAGGCCTTTTTTATCTATCAATAATAATGTCTAGCTGGTTTCATGTACTTTGGCACAAACGAGTGTTGTCAGCATAATTGTTTTGGCAGTATCGACTTACGTAATCGTCTCGTTAATTTTGATACAAATTACTCAATCACAGTGTCCTCACGATGCTCTTTCAGGTCTTTATTTTCATTCATTACTCAAATAATAAGGCATTGCATAAATAAGCAAACGAAACGCATGAAGTAATTTGTATTAATTGCGCATTGATGCATACGGAGGTCGTTTTGAGCCCTCACCTGCCGCGTTGTATGCATTAACTTTGACAAGCCAAAGAAAAATTTGGAGTGCGTGTATTTAAACCTCTTGGTCATCGTTTTCATTAGTGTTATAATAAAATGGTGGTGCATCTGTCATTACTAATTCGAATCCCTTTTGCGCAGTTATGATCGGTAATATAACTATCTGTTTGCTACGCAGTTAGATCAAATTTCGTGGGAAAATTTGGCGCTTGTAATTGTGTCCAAAATCTATAGTACTTTCAGTTTCAACATCAAAGCAAACAGAAAATGTGAATGCTGTTTAGCTAGGCTGAATTTTCTCCTGTCGAAAATGTGCTGGTTATTTTGTGTAGTTACTAATTGACCTGTTTCCTCAAGCTTGAGAAATAAGCATGATTATTTTCGTTTTGGACTTTAATGCACGAATAAACTTTAAAGCTTCGTCCATCATCATTAATATACCTTAAAACAAAACGATAATTTATAAAATTTGGTTGACAGAAATTTAAAATTTAATAATTCTAATGTGGCTTCCCGTTTACTTTGAGGTTACTACCAACGTAATTGAAGGCAGCGCACACGCATTCATTCCTTGTGTTGCTAAGCAATTATATTTAATATTTCCCTTTGCGTTTACGATTTCGTTTTGCTTAACATACGTGACAATCTGGGATTAGTCGCAAGTTGATCAATTACATTAGCGAATTCACCGTGAGAACAACACAATTTGCTTTGTGGAAGGGCATATTAGCATTCAAGTTCTAACCTAACTGGGTAGATCAACAAATTAGTAATGGAAAACACACAACAAAGGGAGCATTTTTGACTAATATCTGCCAACATCGCAAGCTTGAATGAAAGCACATACATCCTTTGAGTTTGCACAATGAATCCAAGCACAAATTAAGTGTCAAAGCGTTTCTAGTGCCTAAAACCATTAATGCCTAAACTTCACATAACATTTTTTTAACATTTAGTTTTTAGATGGCTATCATTAAGCGAAATACGAAAAGACTTATTCTTAGAAAACTGAATTGTATGTGGACCTGAATTTTATTTACGAATTGGCTCTAAAAATGCTCACAAAACTATTTAAGGCGATTCCAAATCGTTTGAGGCTCTTGAGGATACAACGTTTTGATTTGCTAACTCCTATTAGTGTTAACGACATTTTGTTGTTTTCCCAGACATTGTCTGAATGCGTTTTTTACACGTCAGCTAAGATTAAAGGATGTGTCAAGAAGGTTGTACGTTCTATCAATTAGGCCGATGACCTAAAACCACATGATGTATGCTTGTGATTGTTTTGCACACTTTTACTAGTCCTTGAGCATAAAATGGCAACTCAACAATTAAATGTTTCCTTTGAATCAACATACCCTGGATCGTGGAACTCTGTCGTACATGCCCCCATTTGCGCCAGAGATGGGCCTTCCAGTACACTGACCGCCCGAGGACGAACGCGATTCTGTATCAAGTCCACTGTCACGATTCGAATTTCCTGTCCCATCATTGGACAAAGGGTAGTCTGGTTCAGGGAGTGGTTCGTCATAAATAGCGCCAGCTTGTACGGTTGACTGATAGACGGGATCACCAAAGACGGAGCTCCGTCTCACAGAGGCTTCACTCGGTTTTGGATTTGACTGTGGTACGTATGAGGGTGGATAGGAGGCAAAGCTGGGAAAGGCATGTTGAATGGAGGCTGATGAGTAGATTGAGCCCGTAGGAGATACACGGCCGTCTCTTTCCCTGGGAGGGCTGACTTGAGCTGTAGTTCGTATTCGAGGCATGGTAGTTCCGTCCGGAAGACGATTGTCTCTAAACAGAACACCGCGTGTGGCGGCCGATTGTGATTGGAACTGTGAAGAGGAGGAAGCCGTAGAAGCCCGATTTTCGGTCGGCTTCATTGCACTTCCGGGAGCAGCGGGAGGACGGTGTGTAACTTTATCCTCACCTTTGCTCTTATTCCTCTCTTTATCATTGTCAGCATGCTTTTCCTTGTGTCTACGTGATCCCAACCGAAAACCCATTAAGAAGTTGTATTTGTGCACCTAGGACGGTTACTTGTACGTGGGTAGAATAAGTGAATCTCAGTGCTCCTGCCTTTGAATAAAGAATATTATTGAGCAACCAATCGAATGTGAATGAGTGTATGCTTTGCCAATCAGGAGATGCGAGGGCGTCATACAGCTTAAGAGACGCAGAACGTGCAACTCGAGCGCTTGTCTGATGATTTAGTCATAACAAGCTTTACAAACTGCTTTAGTCAATAATTCGAGCTTAAATATAACAATAATAACTTGTTGTGGATACAAAATCAAATGAAATTATGCCTAATCGATTCCCATGAATCGGTGCGGGTTTGGTTTTATTGTACTTGATTAACCCAAATAAGGGTTAATGAATCATTTTTAAGCTATAGAAAGTCCTGAGAGTGGGAGAATCTAATCAGAAGCCTACACAAACGTTCTCACTGGCACTTTAGTACCAACAAAACAAGATTGATAATCTCATCTAATTGAGTAGGACCGGAACTTAGGGAAAGTTGCAAAGTGAACATGAGCCGCGATTTTATATGCGTCGTCAACTAAAAGGGATCCAAAAATCACGAGTTTCCCATTCACAGCTGGTAACTGTCCGTAAACTGCTATCCCTAAAGAGAGGTCAATCGTTGTCTATTGCATGTTACTACTATTTTAAATCAATTATCGGTTCTTATAATGAAGTAATGTTTAGAATTGATAGATTAAACATTAAAAAGCCCAATTAAAGAACCATCTAGACTAATGAATGCATTCAAATGACCTTTAAGGAATACTGTTCAAAAATATATTAGCTTTGATCGTCAGACATCCACTTGGCTAAATTATTAGGAATGTGATGTTGTTTGCAAATTTTCGACTTGAAACAGCCAAATACTGACCTTGATGATCTGATTTTTGTGAATTGCTGCAACACAATCTAAGGCAACTAGCATGTTTGACACCCTGGTTCCCGACTTAGCTAACATTACCTTTGCAATGTAATATCTGCAAATGATTTAATCATTATGACTATCTAATCTTGAGTTCTTTTCTTGTACCACCTTACTCTGTAGCCTTGCAACATTACAAACTAAATGCATTCTACGATTTGTAGGTAGTTTGCTATCGTGTACTGATGGATATCGACTGCAGTATGCAACTATTAGGTAAAGCATCCCTAACCTACCGCTATATTTTATTTTAAATAATACTTAATGAAACTGAAGTAAAAATTATAAGGCATTAGATTAAAACACGGTTAAAGTGCATTTGTGCACTTGATGCCAACCGGAAGCTGCGAAACATACAAAACACATGTCTACTAGTATGTACCTAACATTTGGATTTAACTAGCGCTTTGGGGATGGCGAGACTTGGCACATGCTCCTAGACATTGGGAATGACGGATAAATTTGACATTTCAGACACACTGTCGGTTGTTATGCCTCTTATTTAAGGGGAACCGTGTGGTTAACATGATCATACTAGTAATTTTGGAGTGTAAACTCCAACAGGAAAATACCTTTATTACGTTGAATTTCGAAATCCAAGAATATTTTTTTATTCAGAAAAGGTCGGAGAAAGTGAAACACTCATTGGTTCCTTAGAACTGCATAGGCTCATTATCTGACGCCATGTTTCGTTGTGAAAGGAGAGCTTGATTTCTGACACTGGAAGCAGATGAGTGGGGAACCTACAGCACCTTTAATTTGTAATTAAACTATTACAGGTGGCCATGATGTGGTGTTTGCCCAATAAGTAAGCTGTATTCACCACAATTTTGATTCCAGGCCTTTATGCGTTGGCCATCAGGCGTTTTATGATTTACTAATGTCTAACACCGAGATTGAGGACATGGATTCGAAAATGTAACCATGAAATTACACATTGAAGTAAAAAGTGGTCTTCATTTTCTCGAAATTTCTGATTATACGTTTGATCACGGTGAGCGCACATAACTAGTAGCACACTAATTTTGTAAATCAGTAAGCTAAACTGATAGTGCAGCAGTCATACTGGCTGAAATTCTATCCGTGTGCTCTCTGATATGCATACTCAATTGGTTCTTTAACTAAAAACTGAATTTCTACTGTATTTCGTCAAATTTTCAGACCAAGGGTCCAATCAAGCGAAGAAATGTAGCAAAATCGGTTACTGCCAGATCAGAATTGCTTCTTAAGGCTAAACACTCGTGCACACTTCTTGGCGAAGGAGATATGTCTATATATCATTTTGTCACTGTCACAGTACTCAGGAGCAAACGAGACGCCGTTGCCAAGTTGCATCGTGCAGTGGAAAGGGAACACCAAAACACGCCTTCACAGTCTTAGGGCATACAGATTCCAAATTAGCCTACAATTAAGGGTCAAAAAACGTTTACATAAAACGATTGGTAAATGAAGTTTCCAGAAATTGCTTAAATTCAATTAACGTTGCTGATGGTAAGCATGGCTGCAATCACCATGGGTCGATTTTTAAGACCTGATCTACACTCGACTCTAAAACATGACAGCTGAACGGATATTGAAGGTTTTTGAAAGTAACTAAAAAGAATAAGGTTGTGTCTAATTTTAGCAACTATGTATTATCTCTACAAAGTTCTGTCATCGTCGTAAAATTTACTTGATATTGTTGGAATACGATTAAAAGATACAGGCTGTTTTCCTCTTCTCAATTTCGATAAATACGAACTTTTTCCTATCTACTCATTCCTCATGAATATTGAAATCAAAACCTCCGTGGGACAGACAGAAATTGTAGAAAAGTATAATTAATGCCTTCTAGCTTAATACGTTTTAATTATTCAATTTGAAGACTGCACTCAAATTGTTTCACCCCATGGATTTTAGTTTATATTTCCTGAATAAAAAAGGCATCATTGCTTAAAACTTTTCTGTCAATACTTCTTTGGTTTAGTAAAGCTTTCGTTTATACACCTACTCCAAATAATAACTGGAATCGAAGCTTCAAGTAAGTTGCTCTTGAATGTCGGAAGAATGATGGATTTGACATAAATGGTAAGAGATTCTGAGACGTTCTCATTTGCGGACAATTTCAGGCATAAAATGGCATTCTCACGTATGAATGCTGCTCCTTGAGACTACCTCGATTATGGTAATTTTGTGTTAACTTACCTAACACCTTTTGTGGTGGTTGAATGCAGGTAGTTCTGGTGTTTTTTCGCGCATTCACTATTCAAAATGAGCCTTTTCCCACAAAGACTGCACTTTAATTGATGCAGTATAATTCTGTTTTTGCCTAGTTTATCAAAATCTCGAAACCCCCAACTCGCTTTTCCATTACCTGATTCAATTTATTTTGTTCGGACAAGTGTTTACACCTATCTTTTTGCTGCTCTTCATGTCTGGGCAATTAAGTCAAAGCATAAGTTTGAAACCAAGTCCTTTTCCAGGGACACATTTCCAAAGCACTTTCAAACAACTTTATATAAAATCAGACTGCTTCTCTTCCCACATTTATCTGTTCCTTTACTCCCCTAAAGTAGCCTCTAATTTTGCGTAAGTAGTTCCATTCTTTGCATTGTTGACCACATATTATTGGCAAACCCTTGTGTTAGTTTTCCCGTAAGGTTTTATCAGGGTTTGTCGCCTGTAACTTGTGCTTAAAAATGCAACACTGGGTGCTCGGAATTTGCTGCGCTGTGAGGCTCCAGGTTAAACATAGACTGTTTACGATTATTTATTAAAGTTATTCAAATAATAATGTCTAGAAGCTAATTGGCCTCCACCTAGCATGGAGCTTGGTTGATAAAACGACAGCAAAATGTTGACATTCTACACGGTTTCATTTTATACTTTAAACACATTATTTGTATAACCCCAAAAACAAAAATAATCAGGTCTACGATAACAGCTGCATTGTTTCTTAAACAGAGAATAACAATAACTGGATTTTGAATTAAAAAGTAAAAGGCCGTCCAGTTGGGAAATTAGCGTCTTAGCGCCGGTCCTGTTCATTTTTTTTGGAAATGCTGTTTAAAACAAATAGTTGCATTATTTTTCAGTAATAGCATTCAAAAGCCTCTTTTTTCAAAGTAAAAATTCTTACTTGTGAGTTCTTAAATTCCAAGTAAAGAGAAAATATAAGGTGAAGGGTTTCAATCCGATTTTTATAAACTGGCACATCCAAAATGGCTAAAACACGCAGTAGCTCTTGAAATAGTTTCAGAATAAAACAAAATATCCCCCACAATAAGCCAATTTCATAAAACTTAAACAGTGTCAGATTTAGGTATAGCCTACATTTCAATCACTAAATTTTGACACCAAATTACCGTGCTCAGTTTTCATTGAAGAGATAATACCTCAAAATAATTGGCGCTCTTTATTGGGACTGCAGTTTTACTTTAAGCCCGACAAAACTTTTATGCAATTTTTTAAGTAAAAGCTTGTAAAATAGTCATAAAACAAGTATGAATGCACTTTGGAAATGCAATAAGGCTAGTCAGCGCAGCCCCTAAAATCCTTATTTACTAATAAGCGATATGTAAATAACGTGGGAATTTTATTTGCGCAGCAGTTTACATCATGGTGAACAAATTTGGCTTCTTATACGTAGATGAGACTTACCACTTACAATGTCGACATACTCACTGAGACTGCAGTTTAGTACTGCTGTAGGCAAAACCGTAGTATTCAAGGTTTTTTCGAATTCCACGGGCCACTCGGTCATGAGGGTTGTCAAATCTGGCATTGGCCTGAGCAATGTGGAAAGAAGCCGTTGTTTACGTTGAGCAGATTTGCCACCCCCTTGGGTCTAAGGTTAGCCAGGTATGTAATGGGAAAAGCTTTACTATGTAACCCTTGTATGACCTTGTTAAGTGTTCTGGAAGTTTTTCCTTCAAGCAACTCTTCGTCTAATGCTACCAATTACGGTCTCTCATCCGATTGGACTGAATAAAACCTACTTGGCAAATATCACCACAACTTTAAGCCTGACATATTTTTAATGTTTTGAAATTTATTTGCAATCGTTCAAGAGATTATAGTAGCTACTTATAACCTGTCTTATGAACTGTTGTGGTAGTGATTTTTTACTGTTTCATTCCTTTGTGTTTGCGCTCCATGTGGCTACTTAGGTGATCATGTTATCAGTTTAGGTTTTTTCAACAGATTTCAACTAATTAAGTTTTTACCCCAAAAGACGAATTTATAGGGCTTTTCCTTCCACAAAGGCTAAAAGCATTTATGAAAGTTAAATAAACAGGAAATCAAAATTTAAACCCCTGTAACTTGGCAATATTTTTAACAGGTTTTGTTATTGATAAAACCCTAACATAACCTTCCCTTTAGACCTTGCAATATTTATTTAATACGATTACATATTTTTGCAACAAAATCACAATATCGAATGTGTGACTAGTCTGAATAATTAATTAGAAAGATAAAATAGTATCCTTTTTACTGTATAATACATTTAATATACAAGTTGCACAAAGGTTTTGACTTTTGAAACACTGAAACAAGTTAGTTTTGTTTTAATAAGGGATATGACATTGGTGATAAGTAAGCTTCATTTCTGTATAAATTAGGGGTTTTGTGGTTGCCGTTCACTCAACCCCATCTGCGCTGATGTCGATTCTGGCTTCGGGTGGAGCTTCAGTGTAGAAAAAAACTTTCTGATTGCGCTCACCACTTAAAGACGTTAGCCGCCAGGCCGATGCATGCGTCAGCGACTCAAAGTGACTGAAACAAACGCTCTCCACCCCTCGATCCAACCCAGTTAACTTCCAAATTTGAGTCGTTTAAAAGAGTTGGATCGAGAGATCTTCACAAATACTCAAATCCAAACGGGGTGACTCACCTCACGAGCCTGTGAACGAATAGAGCGTCTGTATTTGCTTACGTTACCTAAGCCTTGCAGAGGTGTGCGCGTGGTGCAATCTGCAGTCGCAGCACCACATCGTGCAAAAATAAAGTCTGCTCCATGAAATCGTGATTCGACAATGCAGTTACCTAGACAGTTACATTTTCACACGCAGGCACTTTGGATATCTGAAGTGTGTTCGAAAAAAACATCTGCGTGAGTGGAATACACCCACACCAAGCTCTTGCAACATCCACCTATAACGGTGACTGTCGTATTTCCCCTGTGACAGCTCACTGATGACAAACTTGAACAAGTATTCAGGTGCTCATAACTCATATCAAAGAGGTTACTTAGAACCTACAGATTGTGTGTTTTCCTAAATCGTGTAACTAAAAAACAGGAATTCAAGGAAGTTTACACCAAAATAAAGTTACGAGAATAAAATTTATTAATGTAACTTCTAAAAAAGTTGGATTTGCTAAACTTTCTTAAACAAGCTTAGAACACGCGAGTTACTTAAAGTTAAAGAAGCCAAGTACAAAATAGATTGTAATTCATAGGAAACCTGTCAAAGCATCATTATTTGTTCATAGTTTTTTGAGCAATCACGTGCTTTCTTCCGCACATCTTAGCTTTTTCACTCTGCATTAATTTTCAGACTAGAAAACGTTTCAAACATAGCATAATAAGGGAAATCAGGATCTTTGGCCTACTGTAGAAGCTACACTTAATAAAACATGGATGCCATGACTACGACACGTGGAGAACTTAAAACACTGCAAATAGAGCGCTTTTTGCACCAAACATCGGATAATGCGACCACTCACTTGTCATGATACACACTAAAACAGTATATTCTTTATTACATATCATGAGAAGCGCCATCAAGCACAAATTCAGATATTGATAGCCTCCTCTGTTCCAATCTTCTTGTGATTTGAGGTGTTGAACAGGTGGATCAACTCCGTCCATTGAACACTTTCGAGTTTTGTGTTGGGTAATGCTATTTCGCTGTCAGTAGGTTTATGGTTTTTTCATTAGCAAACAAGTCTAGTCGAATAGCAGCAGTCTCATATACTTTGCCACCAATATTTCAATACCACCAATTTTCTCACAACAAGATTTTATAGACACCTGCTCTTCACTTCGTCTCTACTTACGTCTGACGTATGCGCCCTAAAAACTCAATACCTCATAAAACAGTCCTAGTTGCTGATTGCCAATAAAGGACTGCACTGTGATAAAAGAAGTGCTATCCTACACCTCAGCTAAAGCACCTTGTGCCAGAAGTCATCACTAAACCCATCCAAGACACTTCGTTTGCGATTGCAAAATCAACATGTCAAATGCACTCAATGACAGCTAAAATGGTGGTCTAAGCTTCAGCGATGTACAACTGTTTTAATTTGATGGGTGTGATTTAAAGACAGACTATTTTAACAGAGCAAAAATGTGACCGAAATGGACCCAAAATACAATCGCAGACTTTATTGTGAATTTACGACATATAGGTAGACACATCCTGATATAGGCCCGGCATGAACAACATGATTACAAGTTGACGATCTTTTCAAATTATGTAAACTGCATGCATTTTACTTGTGGTTGAAAGCAGTCCAACTTTGATTTAGTTTATTACTAATGGAAGTAGTGTGCAGAAATGATCATTGGGTATCCCAGCACAGTCTGTTTTAACCACTAAACGTTTTCTGACACTGCAGCAGTTTTTCTCATAATACGGTGTTCTTAATCCTCCTTGATGCCCATTATCAGATTCCCTCCTAGCTGTTTTCCCAAAAGATCATTAGTAACAATTGCACACAACCATCGTGTGATAACTAAAGCTTGGAAGGTTGTATACCACTGGATTGTTTTGGCCTGAATGATGGATCTGTTTCTAATAAGATGTGTCAAGACTAGTTCAAAATAAGCGCAAACTGCGTGGTTCCTATATACCAATACACCCAAGTGACCTGCTACTTTATCTCTGCATTTGTACGGTCAGGCACTTATTTACTGGATGACAGGCAAATTGGTATACAAATATTTCATAGAGCTTTCCGGACTAAGCAGTAGCCAAAATGTTAAGTCAGTTTTGTAAAACTTGAGGAATCGACCTATTTGACTGCGGATTATGTCACATACTTATTAATTCATCTTCAGCTAAGAAGTTGTTACGTTAGACAGCGATTTGTGACGACAAAGCGGCAGCTTTATCGCCCAGCAACCTTAAGCATTCATTACTTTGAGATGAACTGCTAATTTTGCCCTGCCCGTGAGCATTTAGTCAAGAGGACGGCTTCTGTCGCCCTTCCCTGTCCTACTTTAATCCATTAGATTACACTCTAGCAAAGTTCTCTCAAGTAAAGTATACAATCAAAAAGGCGAACACTCATCAATGGCACTTTTTAAAGAGAAACAGATAAAATAAATAAGAATGATGAAGCGGCTAGCCGCCACTCATTGATCCTTTACCGTCATCTATTTTCGTCAGTTTGGACTGTGTAGAAGACTTGCTTCTACACATGGACCATACCTCCAGAGAATTAGATTTAGTTGTGACTTAGCGAATATTTCGGAGTAAGAACCGAGTTAGGGTCAAACAAGTGCAAACCTAGACCTTAGGATAGAGTTATTTTCTTGGTTGGAGTAATTTAAGGTCTAAGTTGCGTACTAAAGTAGATTGAAATGCTTCATTAAAAAGCAAGGAGACTAAACCAACTCTTCGGGTCTTCCTGTGTGTTTTCTAGAAAATCTCCACCTCGCTGCTGTCAAAAAAGGACAACTGTTGTGATTTTTACATGCCTTAAATACTACTCCTCTAAATACTTTGAGCATCTCCGTAGCGATGGTTGCAATTGATTTGAAGAAACAGCCCACATACTTTACGTAATGTACGGTTGGAGGTGGTTTGGAGCGGTGGAGGTCACCAATACTTTTGATCCATTTATCAATCTCTTTGCCATTCTCCTCAGCGTTCTTGATGTCCCTTATGACCTAAAGTGACAGAAAGGAGGTGAATGCGCTGAGACTGTGGCAGAGGTCAGCAAGGCGCTTGTGGGATTTCGAAGCAGCAGTGGCACATAAGTTGTCTGCATGGCTTTGTTTCAAATACTGTTGCCCCTGTGTCCGTCATAAGCCATGCATCAATGGTGCAACCAAAAAAATATTTACTTTTTTGACATAATGCTCAAATCAGTTAGTAGCATAGAGAAAAAAACACCAAACTATTGCAAAGTACTGGAAAGTAAACATTTGTTAAGCCAGCTCAAAACCTATAGAGAACTTCGTTGTGGCTTCCTTAACATTTTTTTAATAAAATGTACATATCCACAACTCTGACTGCACCATTTCTCTCACAGTGATCTTTAAAGACGCTTCTTTCGTTCATGAGAAGCAATGCACATTATGATCCTAAATGGATACCACTGGAAAGGGGGTAAAATGTAACCTGCAATGCGTGCTGATGTGAAATTGAGCCGTTTGCAGCGACTATTTTATGACTAGGAAAACAAATCACAGTGATTGCTGAATTCATGTGCACTTGAGAAAATTGAGCCCTTTATGGAGCAAGAATTTAAAAACAACCTAATACCATAATGAAGTAGAAACACGAAACTTTCCCAGAAGAGGTGTTGCGAGGTGGTTAACCAAGCTACAACTAGAAAATTCCCTAGGGTAGCTAACTTTGTCACAATCGTTGAGACACTGTCATCTTGTTTAAAACAGCCGCTAATCATGTACTGACTTCCACAACACAGTTATCAACACTTCGTTTAAACAAATTTGCACTTTTTTGTTCTTAAAATGCACAATTTAGAATAAGGAAAGCATTACCATTTCCTTAGAAGTCTTTTGTTTAGAAACTGCTCTCAACTGAAGGTCAAGTACGGTGGGATCCGATTGGTTGGTGCAAGGTTCATCCAGCACGGTTAGTCCGAGGTTGTCAGGCTTGCCGTCTGGTCTTGGAACCTTAAATTTTTAAAAAGGTGCCATAAACCAACACAAGAAGACAGCCATAAATCTTGTCAATAAGCATAACTTGAGATTTCATAAGAGCCAACAAATTTTTTAAAACGCTAATTTGCCACAGATTCAATTTACTTCAGACGCTTAAATTTTACGAACAAAATCTACCTGTCATCTTCATTTAATTACACAATTGCATCGAATTAGCTTACAAAACAATTCGGAATCGGCATAAAAGGTGAGCAGGAAAACTCACTCAATCCCCACTAATAAGCACCTAAGTTGAAGCCAAAACATTTTTTGGAGGGAAATCACATCACTGCTTGGTACGGCACCGACTTCATTCACGCTGTGATAAAACAGTGAGTGAGCGTCCATGCAGCCAATGATGTGTCGGGCAGATTACCTCTACTGCTCGATCCTGCAGCCTTCGCAAGCTGGTTGACGAATTAGATTTGGAGATTGCACAAGTAACACCTAGCGATCAAGTGTGAAGCAGTCCGTGGTTTGCATTCGATAAGTTTTCAAATTTGCCTCAGATACCTCACAACCTCCTGCTTTAAAATCACGATTTAACGAATACACGGGAACGTTATGCTGCATCTGCCAATTTAAAGCGCTTTAAGGTATAGATCTCAGAAATGCCGTTAATACAATTAACTGCTCACTTTTAGAAATGCATCTATGTCACCCACAGCAGCAATATATTCAGGAATGAAGGGGCGCAGTTTCGTTTCAAGCTCAATACTTTGCGGTGTATACCGTTGGATATATTGAAACATCTCCTTCACCTCAGCCGAAACTACCAAATGGTCGAAATAAGCCGGATTGTATAATCTAAAAATGCGTTTTACTAAGTAATTCCAAGTAGTTATACTTTCGAGTGTCAACAAATTATATACTGTATTCTGACTGCATTTGTACTGTATTATGCCATTCATTTAACTTCACATAGAAAAGCAATCATTTTTGCCTTAGCAATTAGTGAGGTACTACCATTTAATTAGCAGTCGGTGTGATTAGCTCTGTTGCGGCAAGCACGTTTAACTTTGGAGAAATGCTTAACTAATTGCCACCCGGAAGAAATATTATAATTACCAAATTTCTTTTTTAATCAAAATTTATTAAAATGCCAAGCTAAACGCCTTTTTGATTCACTGTTATTATATATCACTGTCGGAAAAAGGACATCGGGTTAAGATTTGTGGAAATATGTATAGGAGAGACGCAGTATCCTTAGGCAAAACTAACTTGTCAAATAAGTAAGTTACCCATCGTTCATCTCCGAGTTGGAAGTGTCATAGCTGTCGTTGTTTTCATCATCTTCATCATCCTCCACATCATCTTCATCATCGATACCGCCAGCACCACTCGCATTGTCGTCGGAGGAGTCGCGGCCACCGGCTTTGGAGGAGTTGTTGGCTGGCGGGGCTTTGGTCTTCTTCACTGCGTCGCCCTCTTCGCCTGTCTTGTCGCTGGCCGAATGAGCTCGAGGGGACGACTTTGGGTTAGGGGCATTCTATTGGCGCACGTTTTAATAATGATAGACACAGGCTGTTAGTTGGATCTCATCACTAAAGTTTTACTGAAAGGATATTCAAATATCCAGCAGATATTTATTGGGAAAAGTGACGCAATGTGAAATACAGGATACCACAATATCGTGAATTTATAGACGGTGTCTACTCTAGTCTAGATTTAATTTGACAAAGCCTTCTGACGATTATTAAATAATCGCTCAAAAATTCAGTCCTGTTCTTAGGACTTCGACAGACTCCAATATCGTTCTCAACCTTAAAGTTCGAGAACAAAATTTGTAAACGTGGATTGGGAGCAAGACACGTTACAACCTGCTAGTTATTTTTAAAATTATAACAAGATAAATAAGTTAAGAATTCAGCTATTATTTAGACATTCGGATGGCAGACTGCAACGCAAATTACCTGAAGTTTAGCGGCAACTTATGCCTACCCTTGTAAATAATTACGGTTCCACAATTGTGATTTGTTTGATGCATACAAGGTTGCTACTTGTTTACCTCTACATTCTGGGGTTAAGATATACATAAAATGCACAATAATATCTGTGAATTTTGTAAATTATGTATTTTTTTAATGTCATGTGTAAACCAACGACCTTCAAGCGGATCCAATAATCCCAAGACACAAATAGTGCAGATTTTGTCAGTAACTCTCATATACTTTCCTAAGCAGGATCGTAAAATCGATGCTCCAGGAAATGCCAATTAGGTAACACTCCACATGGCAAAATCCGACTGAATTCTGGTTTTATCTAGTCGCGGTGGTAGTTTCTTAATAGCGATAAACCCCTCATTCAAAGCAAACTTTTGGTGCCACGATTCGTTCAGCGTTAGTATTATCGAATCATTGTGAAGGCCAACCCTCACATAAACCTAGATCAAAATGAAGTTAGGATACTTTACAAGGGAAATTTATGGCCTTGCGCATTGACGCTGTCGCGTCAGGGATTGGTCTTTGATTGAAATGGTAGTCGTGCATTGCAGAATTGACTCTGCACGTTTGACGACATCAAAGGACGACACATTTTACACTTTCAAAAGATCAATCGATAAACCTTTACATATCAGTGGACGGGTTCATTTGCTTTCATTACTTTCTGAATTTTAACCGATATCATCATTGAAAAATATCAAGTCGCCTTAATTTGGCCTCGAGAATAGTATCAACTTTGCATAAATAATTGTGGCAATTTACATTACGTTGCCAAAATTTGACAAGTTGCAGGAAAATTTGTCGTAACTCAGTGAGTACATGGATCAAAAATTGTTGTCTGCAAAACAAGTCACTAAAATAACATGACCGAAGTGATAGTTTGTAGGAATCGGTTATTTCAATGTCTGTTAATTAAGAATGAAAACCTTGGATTAAATTTCAGTGGAACGGTTAATGACGTTTTGTTCAAAATTCAAATACATGGTTATATAAGCCTGAGTATTATATGCCTTTCAGCATTAAAATATTGTCACGCACCGACTCCGTTCCAGGTGCCTTAATAGGCATACCGAAAAGTGAATCATTTGCTAAAAAAATAAATGCGTTGGGTGGATTTTTGTGAATCCATCTATTAGCACAATTTCAAACTACTTACTTTTCCCTGCGACAACGAATGATGTAGTACTCAGTATTTCATCGGACTCTGAAGTAGACACATCAATCGCCTCATCATATGGCAAGTTCGTAATGTTAGAAGTCTGTCACAAATATGAACTTCTTTAAGTTATTGCAGTGGCCAAGTAAATTTCCATATACACTGAGCACACGCTTTCAATGTGAAATGAGGTTAAAATAATAAAATTTAACATTATCAGACAAATCAGAATGTAAAGTGCGCACAAGTAGACAAAAGTGATCACTGGGTAAATTGAAGTAATGGATATTGTTTAACATGAACTATCGATACAAATGAAAAATATCGGTTTAATAACTAAGCCGAGCAGACATAAAATCAGGTATCTAGAATAGGCCAACGCTAGACATGTATTAATATATAACAAATAACTTGCAGAGTACTGCGAAAATGATGAAGGAGGACGTTTCATTGAAAACATTAGCTGAGGTTTAAAAAGGTTGAAAGGTTAAAGCAGACGAGGGGTGACAACACTTAAATAGATGAGGGCTTCTGTAATGTGACTCATTACTGAATGTTGCATAGAGGACAACTCTTCTAAATGCCCGATGTTTTAATTTAAAACAAAACCTTTCAATGCAGGGCATTTGATCCATATTTTAGACTAAAAACAAACACAGACCAATAAACATGATTCTAGCGTATCCTAGCCTCTTGTATTACGCCCTTTTCAGTTTACAAATGATACAGCATCACTCCTGTGCCAATAGCAAAACAATTTAAGCATAAATTTAGGGTACAAATAAAATGAAAGAATTGGCTTTAAAAAAGGCCAAGAAAACTGCTACAGCAGCCGATTTAGTAAAAATAATTTGTCTTCATAAAAAGCTACTTAGAAAAATGATAGCATAAATGGCCTTAGTTGTGTGTAAGTTGCGGATTGTCATTATGTAATTTGTGCCACCGGAGTCAAGAAAATGTGTAGCTAAATGGTGTCCACACATAAAAGTCAGAAAGCGAAATCCGTGTATTCAATTTCGGGGTTTCTCAAATTGCCAACGAAAAACCACCAAACCAAGAGTTTCTTAAGTTAAAATCATACGGTTTAAACGTGAAGGAAAACTTTCATAATCATCTCCAAACCATCGCTTTCTGCAAGTAAGTTATTTAGTTAACAGTAAATATAACTCCATCCAGCATTAGATATAGTCAAAAATGAAAATCATGCACAGAATATAGGTTTCTAGTACTTTCAGTAGGAAGGTCCTGACATTTTCCAATCTGACCAAAAAATTCCATTGTGCATCCATGCCAAGTGAAGCGCACCATTACGTTTATTTTCTAAATCACATTAATTATTTTTTCTGATTCATTATGAAACGTGACGCAAGAAAAGTGCATTGAACATGCTTTAACCACATTTAGTTTAGATTTAGAGTTTAATTCCTAGATGCAATTTAATTTTCAAAGAAAAATTGCGTAATGACTAATGACAGATAAAACGAGAGGAAATATTTAACCATTTTGTGGAGTTATGAAATGTTGCCATTTTCTCTTATTTCAAAATTGCAACATGACTTAAACACAGTTACAAGCATACATTTAGACCAGTAAAACAAAATTGAATATTCCACTAAAGCACATTTGCAATGATGGCTTGCAAACGATTAGAGCTAAAACGAAAAACAAAACATACCTGTGATAAATTAAAATAAAATGAATGATACACTCCTGGTATAAATTCTAAGGTTTTTGTACACATTTTGAGCTTTAAAATTTATGATATATTATCTGTCAGTTGGTAAATTTGTTTATTGTTTTGGACATTATTCATGTGTTTGCTCTTAAGATTGTAGTTTTAATTTCTTTTTTTTCTGGATTGATGCAGGCTTTTGACCATATCCACTGTTTACCGAATCCGCCTGTACATCTAATTATTCTTCAGTTTCAACTACAAACTGACGGCCGACACATTAACCATCTCTTTTCAGCATAATTTAATGTCTTTGCACCATTTGAAATTTTAGCAGTCTGATTAACAAAGTTGAGATTGTAGAGGTTTCGGTTTAAATCTAGGCAACCCTTGTTAAACTCGCACATTGCACACTCGCACACTTGGATGGACTTAGGTCCCTTCTTCGATTAGTTTAAGTTGGTGGCATTTATTCCATGCACAACTATTCCTGCAGTGAGCTCTTAAGCACAGTTACGACCACCTTTTTGCTTGCGACGCCTAGTGTGTAATACATCATCAAGCACGCACAAATAATTTGTGGGACTCATAGACATTCCTCACTGCTTGAAGGCACCAAGATAATTTAGTCCCCACACAGCAAATGAGAGGTACATGCATAAATTCCCTTAGTAGGTCATGACGTCTTTCATTTCTGCCCTTTTTAATACGATCCACCCTTTTTCGGGTTCAAGCCAATGTTTGTAAGAGAAATTTACATGCATTTTTCAATTAGATGCAACAGTAAAGGCGATTACGAGTCTTTTAAAAAACCACCAAGTGTATTTTTAGAAAAAAAATGACATCGAGGTGGCATAAAAAATTACGCACTACAGATTGACGTGGAAGACAACCGGTCGACGAGGGTCTGTATTCACACGGTGAAGTGCCCGATTGATAACTTCAGACCCCACATCCATACTTTGATCGACTGTGTTCATTTTCGAGTTCCTAGTGTTTTGTGTATAAAGAAGAGAATTACTAATGTGATCGTAAATCTTCCTAAAATGATGATTGGACTTAGTTGCATACAAAAGTATAAGGCAACAGCTAAAATGTTTGATGACCTAACAACCATAAAAGCCGTTTCAACCTGAACGCAAAGTGGTAAGATCCGTGTTACAATTGGAAAAAGCAGTAAGTAATATACACAAAAGTACTCCCTGTGCTTAAAAGGAGTTCGTCTTGGTCCGTCTCTCATTACAAAGTCTTGTGACACTGTTAGACATGTGAAAAAAAAGTCTAGAAAGTTAATTATGTTTGGAATACCAATGAACAACAAATTGTGAATAAAAACACACAAGATTAATTTACCTTGTGGTTAGAGGAGGGGCGCTTCTATCGGGTTTGCTTGGAAAGCCTGCCCCTGGCGTGACCAAAGTTACAAGCATAGGCCGGCTGTCGAGCTCGCGACTGTTGTAACGTGCAACCGCCGACTGAGCATCTGTAGCTGAGTTGAACACAACTTCTGCCAGTCCGGGACGAACCAAATTGCAGGAACGCAGAGGTCCCACACCAGAGAATAGTTCCTTTAGGACACGGAGAGAAACAATGAACGTGCATTAGTAATTGCGCAAAAAAGCTCTCGCAATGTAGGGTTATTTCTCTATATTAGCTTTAAAACTTAATAAAATACACCGTGCATTGCAAATAAGCTTATCTAATTTGAAATTTTACATGTCGACGGATTCAATAAACTTGGAACAAAAATAGTAGTCACGCTCTTTGTAGACAGTAATTCAGTAGTTAACATACAAGAGAATCTGTCCGAATTAATTAGGCATCAACCCTGAAATATTTACGTCGAAGTGCTGCTAAGGCGCAAAAAGAATGCCAAACAAGAAAAATTAAAAAGGGCAGATTTACTCGGTTTACTTATGGCGTAAATGTAGAGATAGGAATTAATGTACCATCATGTCTCTCGTAATGAATCTAGGTCTGACCTGTCGAGGATGTAGTATTAACTCTCAACAAAATCAAACTTCATATCAACAAATTGAACTGTCTTTTCAAAGAGCGTGTTGTGAATCGTGTTTATTCACACCCCTTAATCCGGTCGCTCCACCTCCGACACAGGGTTCCCCCTTTTCGCAGCGTGTCACCAGCCGCGCGATTCCTCAACCCCCCCTCTTTCACACGGATTATCCTCACACCTGGGAGTCGGTGTTAGTGCATGTTTGACTAACACATCCGATGTGCAAATACACATACGCAAACAACATACTATCACGTCTTCGTCAAGTACTCGAATAAACGGTTGACTGTCCTTCGCCAGACTTCATCCTTGTTGGGCAGTTAGTGATATATGGCGTCGCAACAAGCATATGCAAAGTAACACTTCAGATGTATATTTTGCCAAACAGCCAGAAACATGTAATGTGAGTGGAATGTAAATTTTTGTGATGTAGAGAAATGAAGCTCAAATCAGGCCTGGGATCCTATTAAACCAGTTTCGACTAACAGATTTCTAGCAAACAAGATTTAAATACATAATTAATTTATAAACTTATGTGTTCGTTCTGAACCTATAATTTAATTGCTGGGGTAGGAATTGGGTTGAATGTAAATCGAAGCAAGTTTGTGATCATCAAAACTGTAAGAGCTAGCTTTCATTAGTAACGTGGTAGACGCATTAAAATCGATAGTTTGTCAAATTAATCCATAAAAGACACCAATCTAAGTGAAAGCATCTTACATAGATGTCATCAAGTGTGACAGAGGGTCCCAGGTTCCTAACTTCAACTCGGAAGCCCTGAATGGGGCTTACAACCGACGCACTTGCGAGTTCTTGAAAGTCAATTCGACTGGCAGGCTGATTACTGATAGTGCGTGTGAGAGATTCCCTGACATTGTGTGCGGAGGGATTCCCTTGACGTAAATATAAACTCTGCGGAAAGGATACGCAAAATCAATTAGGCAGCATAGATTTTAAAAGAAGACAAAATCTATTAGTCACATGCTTCAACACTTAAATTGATAGCTAAGGAGCACAAATATCACAATACATGGTACGTGGCTTACACACCCCTAACTGTTTATTAGCCAACTGTCCGCGGCGCGTCTTAATGAATACTAGAAAAAAAGTTTTGTGACATATGTACATGCATGTTTTGCGCAGCGCAGGTCTCTGAATAAACTTGCAAATGCCGTAATTAAGAGTAGAACTATAATATTTCAAATTAAAATTGTACTTGAACTTACCGGTCCTTTCCTTTGAAAGTATTCGTTTTTAACCTACAACAGAAAAATGCAGAGTATAATTCATTTCAACGTCGATTTAAATTTAAGGGTATGAACATTTATTAGTTACAGCTGACCGCGAAACTCCATCGTATAAGCTACGTGTGATTTATAAAACCAAAAAATAGGTGCAGACGTTATATTTTAAAACAGAACACAGAACTTCTTCCTCAGTAAAATTACAACAATACAAGATTCTAACATACTATGAAGATTAGTAAGGCTTAATTACATCTGGACCATTTCTATGAAAAACCCGAAAGTGACATACCGTGCGTCTTGGAATGAGGAAAGGCACATCAATTTGTTGAGAAAGTACTCTATTTAGAATCCCCTTCTTCTTTCTAATGTTTTTGATCTGCTTCTTTTTATTCAAGAGAATACGGGCGTCAGGAGGGCCAGAAGACCTCAATGGATTATTGAGTATTTTGACACGAAGATCCGTCGCCATTTGATTTCTTTTTGTAACCATTCCACTTTTTTTCGATGACCCCAGGCGATCCCTAAGGAACCCAAATAACAAAAGACCGTACGATTACATGACGGATTTCCTTATCAAGCGTTTTTCAAAAGTGTTTTCCATTGCTTCCAACACAGATGGTGCTCAAGATCTGATATGACAGGTTAGAAGTGATCGTAGCACATTTATAGCCCAAACACCAAGGCATGTACACCGCAGATAAGTAAAAGAAAAAGGTGATAAATAGTTAAAAATTCTATAGACTTAAATTTTTGCAAAATAGTTTCGAAAAAAAGCAAATTTTTACTACATAAGATATACTAACAATAAGATTAAGAATAACAAATAAATTCCCAATGGTTGGTAATAGTTAATTCACCTCCGAACAATTCCATTACCTTAGAATAATCCGTCACTTGTAACACAAAAAAAGCGTCCTTTATCATAAGAATATCTAAAATTAATGAGTCATTTGTATTAGGGTAAAAGTGTATCAGGCACACAAATCTTCCAAAAATTTTTGTCATATAAAAATAACAAATATTATGGATAAATCTAGAATGCGATTCATTGCGTAATAACTAATTCTAACTACTAAGATAACTAAACCATTTTTAAAATTGTTGCTGTGATTTATGTAACCTGCCTTCACGAAATGGTCAGACGAATTACGATGATCCAGTACGTCAGCATCAAATTATCTTATTTTAAAACTGATCTTGTTCGCAACACGATATGCAAGTTACCCACAGGTTATTAAAAAAAATTGACAAATTTATTGTTGATATTATTATATTTCTGCCTGAATTCTAAGTAATCTGAATGAAGCACTTCTTATTTCTAAAAAATAGTTGACTTGATCGCCCGTCTGATGCTTTAAAAAATACATTTGTAAAGAAAACACTTTAATGTGCCTTTGTATCATAAAGTGCCATAATGGAATTGAGGTAGCGTCCGGTTAGCTTTTTTACATTTCTTAAGTCTTGTAACAAGGGGTTATTTTTCCATTAACATGTATTTTATTTGGAGCAAATCATAAGTTTGGTTTAGCAGTTAAAGGGTATTTTTTATATTAATGCAACGAATGTTGTACAGGACGTGTTAGTTAATACCAGTCTAAAGTTTATTAATGGCTTGTAAAAACCATTTACACATGCAGTGCTTGCAAGACAGTTGCCAATTCCAATTGCTGATCAATGTCAATATGCACAGACTTTAAAAGTTTTTTTGAGTCTTCGCCTTACCATAATGCAACTAGAACCAGTTGAGCTCGTCTCTACATTCTGTTAGCTTATAGTGAAAGGTTTCTATTGCATACCTCTTGTGCATTATTTGCACTAGTGTCGAGAAGTTAGGCAGGCAGTAATAGTATAATATTCAACTAGTTCCAATTGCTTTATTTCTTTTTTGAAGGGACTATGATGGTGTAAGTCTTTTCACTAAAACACCAATACCTGCACATTTACTCTATTCAATAACCAGCCGGATTTTACTGCGTTTTATTCGTAGGACTAATTAATTAGTTGACCTCGTTTTGTAATTAAATCATTTTAAGTGATCTTTCACATGAACCCTCTAACTTTTAACGTTATACCACATGCCCCATTTCTGCTGGCTTAAAACCATTTTCTATGATAACAAATGTCTTATTGTAAATACTTATTAGAAGATGGAAATGTTCTGTGTTTTTTGGAACAAAGGGTTAACACATCTGCTTTGGAGCTTGTTTCAGAATTTAATGTCGCATTATTGATTCTAAATTGCCAAGTTAAGCGAAAATAGTTGGATATCATTGAAAATGACAAGCCAGATTAGCTCCTGTTCTGTTTCTAGTGATCAGCACACATTTTCTTCCGACCACTTAAAACCGTTAACAATAATGATGGATAACCACATATTCTATCAAATTCCATTGGCATGTTTAGTCAACAAGCATTAATTTCACAAGGAAATAACAAAGCTGGCTGAGAAGAAAGGTGCTTTAATCTAGACACAGAGGTCATAAGAAGGGAACAAGTGATATTAATGGTAGGCTTGGGACAATGCCTGTGCATCGCTGATTAACGAAGTTGCAATTAGTAAAAGGCACGTGAAAAATACTCCTATTAATTCTATCCAAACGAGCAAGCCCCATACGTAAAGGCGTGGAAGAAGGCCTTCGTTTCTGCAGACTGTGTCAACGAGGTTTATAACGGCGTATTTCATCTTTTTGCATGGGAAGAGCCTGCTTGTGTATGATGACGTGACGGGCTCAAATTCACTCAGAAGACGAAATTGCAATTCAGCGTAGATGTCGGCAGTCAATGCACTTGAGTTGGTTGAGTTTCTCAAATCCTACAAGTAGACTAACATTTTTACTGCTAATCAAATAATTTTAAGTTGCCACATTGTTATCATGGCACCATTTGTTTTTTTTTAAATGAGTGAGTTTAGCTGTTTTGGCACATCACGTATTGCCTATAAATACAAAACGAAGTAAGGTAAAAAAATCGAACATTGTGCAATTAAAAGGCATCAGCTAATTTATTACCATCCTTTTACCATCTGTTGCCATTTAGATGACACGCTTGGTGAATTTCATGAGATGAAATAAATTGCATCACTTGCCATCGAAATGTTATCCAACCATTGAAGAAAACTCTTGGCAAGCATCTGAAGGTCTCGCAGTCCCCCAAGTTCTTTCGCTACTTCCACAATCTTTTTAAGATTGTTGCGGATTTCAGGGGCTTTTTCCCGAAGCTTGTAGAAGGCCTTGATGACCGATGAATTTGTGGGCAATGCAGCCTCAGAGGTGCCCAACAAATTATAAATTTGATCCAACCGGTCAATGTCCAGCTTGTTAGGGTCAAACTCCTTGATCAAGCCCTTTGAAAATAATGCAGTAGAAACCATTAAGCTTCGGGAATTAAAAGCAAAGACAGAGGTTGATTAGGCTTGAAAATATTTGAATTTGACCACACCTGACTAATACAGTTTGCACGAAGAAGATAGTTAGGATTTTACCTCTGATAAATAATCACTTATTCCCGTACAAATCGTGTGTGTATTGAAAAAATTTGAGTTTTCAACTAGAAGTCCAATTGAAAACAGATTCGAGGCTGACAACATAATTTTAGTTTACGGGGACGATATAATAAGACTTTGCTATTACTTTGTTGAATTTTGTACACCCGACACCTAAATAAGAGATCTGAATCCCAAGGAGATTGCGACTGAAGTGAAAGTTCCTGTAGGCAATTTTTGCGAATTCATTTCAAAGTGGCCATGTTTTTACAGTTTCTTAACAATTTAAGATTCAATATATAAAATTATTTTTATAAGGAATTAAAAGTCACGTAGACACTCACCAAGGCTTCTGTTTCGATTACAGAGAGCTCGTTGACCCAGTTGTTCAAGCTAAGTATACCTTCCACACTTGGTATTTGGTCATTCTTAAACAGAAGATTGTGTAGATTTCTACAGAAAGAGCATGAGGGCACACTCTAAGAAATATGATTACACATACTCTTGGCCATGTAGAATGTCAACATTTATATCTGAATTTTGGGCAAGATTGTAAAGGTTGGCCAGATTTGTCCATCCAATCAATGCTAACAGGCCAGTATCCGTCATTCCACAGTCCTGAATAATGGCTCGCAGAAGATTTCCTGGAACAGGCATGCCAGCGAGGGCTCCAATATTTGGCCAGATGCTACGCAAATAGCCCCTAAGAACATAATCCGACTTTTCCAGGCCCTCTTCTTGAAGGTAGACGCACCCTTCAGTGTAAAGAGCCGAACTCACGAACATCGTGCAAATAACCAAGGTGGTTACAATCAGGAAAATAAATATTGAGAAGACAGAGAGGCAGCTAACGCTTGAGTAACAAGCATTTGCTGTTTTCTTGGCGCTTCCTGCAATAGAGATAGAAGATATCTGGAATGCGCACAGGGACTCCACCATCGAATCATCATTTAAAATCATTTTCATAAGATAGCGAATCCGCGGTGGTAGCAAACCATCCGTATGAGACAGCCAAGAAACGTTACGACACAGGTATACAATGATTCACTGTCACCAGTGCTAGCAACAGCGAGAATGATATATGTGGTAGGTGATTTGAATTCTCGTCTGTCATTTACAGTTGTATTAAAGATCTAGTCAATTCCTATTCCAGTTATATTTATGATACCGTAGTGTAACAATTTACTAAGGCGTGATGCATGGCAGTTCTGTAAAAAAGGTCAAATATAGCCATGGTTTAAAATCACAGTAATGATTAAATCAGAAGAAATTAAAACGTCTATTCAGCATTTCATTAGATATTTTCTAATGAGAATCGGCCTCTCTATTGGCGGTTAGGTTCTGAGTGCGCAGGTTTATGCTTGTTTATGCAAATGACGACTTCAGTGTTATAACCCCATAAAAGTTTCAATGACCAATTCTGCTGAATCGAGTTTATTTTCACTTAACTCCCACCGTAAAAAAATCGTTTAAACTTTTATTTCCCTAAAATTACTGGGTAGACTGGGCTAGTAAGTGGGCATGGACCACCTCAAACTATCAATCCATGACTTTCGGTTGTGCGACACTCAAAGACCTGCCGTTAGTGCTGCACCCTTGATAAAAAAAATGCAAGTGACCCTTTGCAAAATTAGATTGGAGGTTTGCCGATAAAATCAATGTTAGCTCCTTAAATCACCTATAAATTACCCTAGAGAAAGTAAACGCTTGATTCGTGGCGGCACCCAACTGATACATGAAATCCCCCTTGGTTGGTTGTGAAAAATTAAGGAATCCCAAAAATAATTAACTAAAACATGGGCATATATTCACACGGCACCGAATTCATACGTTTTTTTTGCAAATTTAGTATTAATTGATACGACACTCTACTTACTGACTTTGCCTTTGGTAATCGACTTTACGGCGATGCGACACAATCCAACAACCAAAATAAAGGCAATAAAGAGAACGAATACAAAAACTCCTCCAATGGCATTGACCACCATATCCCCGCGGTGTCTCGCCGTATTGTTTATCATAGAAACAATATGCCGTTCCGTGTGTTTGACCGACCGAAGAATGCTGTCTGCTTGCGTCTGAGCCCTTGTCCACACTGCTCCAACAGGTGTGGCCAAATTAATCTGAGTCAAAGTCTGCTTAGGTGACTTCAACTTTGTGAGGATCGACGAGTGATTAAGGCTGTTAACAAGCGAAAGCCATGGTTCTAGCTGAACCTTAAAGTTTCGCAATATCTGAGTAGTTTTGTCCAGATGTTTTGGACTAATAAAGCTTTGATTGAAGTAGAGCTTTGCTTCATTAATTGAGGTCTACAAGGATGGAAAATTATGTAAGTATTTTTTGAATGTAAGTTACTTGGCTGAATCAATGCAAAGTTAGCGGAATACTCGTTGCCCAATTCGCTGACTGTAGAGAATCACAAAATGAAGGAATTTAACGTGGTTTGTATAAACGAAGGCATTTGTGACAGTTTCAGGATATGGATTACTTATCAAAAACGCATATTCGAGCGAAGTCAACTTGAAAATAACCAATGGATGTCTGTTTGTACTGGCAAAACACAACCAATGTAGCCTGTCTTGAATTATGTCTGCCTAATCTAAATGCCTTTTTCGTTCTCTGAACCTGTTTTACATATTTTAGTACATAACTTGAGGAAATTGTTAATTTTGCAAAAAAATGCACTATATGTGTCTTGGGAGTAATAGTTATGAGAATTAAACTGATTTAATTATTCGAAGGCTCCAAGTAATGCAGTTTTATCAAAATCACCAGTTACTAATCCAAGCCGGGATTAAAAGTTGTGCGTGCGAGTGTGTCATCACGTAGCAATTTTTAAACCATTATCATGTGAGGTGTGAAGCGAACATAATAATTCACACATTTGGCCTCGCTGATTCGCATTTCACAGAGGAGCTACAGTCTTAGTGTTAAATCGAAATACAAGGTGTATACCTCACGGGAGTCTTTACTACATTCTCTAGTATGCTGAACACAAAAAGGCCTGTTAGGAACGTCAAATATGAAAAAAAATGTGACAAATTTCTGAAGAAGGACTTAGAATACTTTGCATCCAATAAATGATAACTATCAAGTTGACTTAAAATGTTAATGGTTGTTGCTGAAACAGAAATAGGTCATTGTCACCCAACTAGCATTCCATTAAAAAATACAGTTTTACTTTGCGGACACATGGTTTCACAGATAACAACTCTGGCCTTTCTATTAAGAAGTCAGACGTTTGCTGTGGTCTTACTGAATTTCAAAAAGCACTAGAAATGCAAAACTTTCAAACAAACTGGGAATAAATTAAATTTTTTTTTCAAATAGGTATCAGAATAGAGATTGTTTTATACGCTTTTCGTTTTTTGGTGCGTGTAACTTGGTCTATTAGTTACTGATAAACGTCTCACAAAGTACAATCCGCGATTTAATATAATTTGACATACAAGCAAATCCGAACATGGGCCAGTTGCGTGGCAGGCCTCTCCCACCACTTCGGCCAACTGAGACGCACTCTGAGTCAGATTAGACGCGTACTCGGCAGCTGCCCTCATCAAGCCAAACACCTCAACATCAAGCGACGTGGAAGCCTCCAGCTGGAGGTCCAAGAGGCGCATAATTTCGGAGTGAATCGTCAGCATTTCCCGCAAGTGAAGATGCTTGTAGACCACGTCCGTTAGGATTTCAGATTGTTTGTCAACATTTTCCTTGAATGTGAAAAAAAAATGCGAAAGGGTTGGTAATGAGTACTAAATATTGTGGTCAGCCATCGGAAATCTTGGCTTACAAGAATAAGACAATATAAGGTCCTGAAAACAACCGGTGTTAATAACTGATTGATTTTCCTTTGCACCGCTTATCGCATTTTAAAATGCAGTAAATTTTTTTTACGAAGATATTTATTACATTCTAAAAACGTCCCATATATGCGTACACATCCTAAAGTCTACTATAACGTTTAATCAAATATCGATATACTGGTGTTGAAGACCAACCTCAGGCATGCGTAAAAATCGGTTTTGTGGCTTTTTTTAATTCTGCAGTGAAGTGGCTTCAGAAAGCTGTTGCACAACTAGTTAGCACTGATAATGTCATTTACAATAAGACTGCATTATAGTTAATTTAATAAAATACACAGGTATTTCATCGGGCGCCATTACGTACTTTTAAAAAATGTTTAAAATGGTTAAGCTTTTTAAGCCAGCAACAAACAGGTTTAATTTATGAGAAATGCTTTTCTGCATAAATGGAATTTTGGTTTCTTTACATGAAAGAGCATTTACTACGGGTCACTTTTTCAATAAAAATAAATCTGTTATCTTTGTTTTAGTTAAGAAAATCACGGAACTAATGTTAGCTTTTAAAAGTTCCAAAACCATCCAAGTTTACTGACAGCCCATAGTGGTTAGCGATTTCGCATGTAAACTCATTTGCTCCCCTGAAGTTTTTTCTTTACACAAAACAGCTTGTTACAAGTGATGGTAAAAAGTCACCACCTACCACGAGAGCTACTTCAGCTTCTTTGATAGCTTTGTTGATAATTTGTTTGCCAGATGAAAATCCAGAAGACACAAAGCTTTCTAATGTCGCTGAAAAATTTTCGATAGCGCCCGGTAACGTTGTCTTGTCTGTCTCCCTGCTGCTTATAAAATCAAGCAGCATAGTTGAATTATGGTAGTAGAGACCAAGGATGATCAAGGCGAAAATTCCCAGGATCAGGCAAAGTAGAAGGAGGAATAATTCAACTCGTCGTGGCCAATAGAGAGGTAATACTTTTGGCGATGACTCTGATTCACGCGGTAGCTGTCTTTTGGTGCTCTGTGAGGAAATAATAATGCCAGTTAGTTGCAGCAAATAATGTCCTTTGCCAAAAATGAACTAACCTGAACAAAATATATTTTTCGATTCCGTGCCTAACTGCCATACACATTTGCTTTAGTTTCATATTATGCATACTTTTAACTTTGAAAGCCCAGCTTCGCTCTTGTCAACTTCTAATTGCCTTAATTTTGTACTAGCAGTATATTTTATCTTGGATGCTAAATTCCTCATAATCTCCCGAAGACACAAGACCAGATAACACACCATTTACTAAGTTTGGGAAAAAGAAGATGGGTGTTTTTTAAATCGTGTAACAAAGAACTGCAAACTATATTCCGAAAATAACTATATTTTGTCCCAACGGATTCCGTTATAAACAAGGACTGGGTTTCAACATCTGACCACGAATGCAGAATGTGAGACTGTGACTAGGAGATGTTTAGAATTCTAAAGAGTTTTTTTCTGCAATTGTTAGAATTTGACCAACATTAACCAGTGGATTAGTTTTGTTGTGGTGAATCTTTGAATCTACAGATTTTCCAAACTACGAAATCTGTATTTAGGATTTTGCGTTTTAGAAATTGTTCATTGGCGCCGCACACTTAGAAACCACATACAAAATTAGTGGCACTGACACCACCCGATGGCGCCAGATTTAACAAATTATTGAGTTCTTTTGAGATATAATTAGCAAACAAAATATTCTATATAGTAAAACTTGCAGCACTAATGAAGATAATAACCAGTAACCTATGCTAAGCATATCAAACAGGACTTGTATTTTGTCAAGCCGGGTTGTTTAAATGTGCTAAAGGAATGGGACACAACTAAAGTTGCCTTAGCACAGTCAGTTATGGGTCGGAAATTCAATTGCTTGATTTTATTTGAAAAAAAAGTAAGTTAGGAGATCGTGCAAAAGACGGACATCAAATTAGGTGGATCTAATCGGTCTCTCTGTGCTGACAGTTACAGTATCCTCTGTAATTTAACCTTGATGGTGCTCATTAAGGATTAAACAATGTTTTAATTCAACTAATTTTCTTCAAGTTCCAATGATGACGCGATGATCAAACAACTATGTTATCCGTTGGCACAATTTCCAAAGTGAATTCCGCTGGTACCTTTGTGAGTTTTTGATAGGGAAGATTTAGCCAGGCTTACAAACCACAGATTTTTTTACTTATTTATTTGGCCCCTTTGTTTCGTTCGTGTAATATATCAGCTAATGTGTGTTGACTTCTAAAGACCCACAATCGCTGTACAAACGAGACGAGAGTACAATAGTAGTCACAAGGTGCATGAAAGCACATCTCCTACCCAAACACTTACATTCATCCCTTAATCTCTTTGGCATTTTTCAAGATTATTAAAACATATTTGGGATCTGGGGTTTTTGTTTATCATTCTACAAGTAAAATAAACTTAGAAAAGTGGTTCTTGTTCCTCAGGCATATATAACTGCCATGACGAAAGCCTTATCAGTGATCTTTAACCAAATAAGGGTAATAGCATGAAGCGCTGATGTCGACAGTAAGCATGAGATGGTTAAAATATGATTGAAGTCTACTTAGAAAACAGTGTCTTGTAATTTTGATGCTAAAAAAGTTATGTGTTTAGTCTTAAACACCAATCGTACCGACTTCCGCATGAAAGCCATGTTCCACCACAAAAAACAGCTTAGTCCTGCAAATGCAAAAACTGTGAACAAGAAAAATCCGACTGCAGCCCAGAAAACAGCATTCGCGCGATTCGGCTGGGCGAGTGCCAAGTTGACCCCTAGCTGGCCACCGCCCAATTCCGTCGGGATGGCTTTCAAAACCGACAAATCCGCGCCACGATGAAAGACAAGTGAACCGAAAAGCCATGTCAGGGCAGTTGTCAGGTTTTCTTTTGGCATCAAGCGGAAAGTTCCCTGGTCTGCTGGTTCGAAAAAGACGTTGAGAAGACCACCGCTTGAATAACGAAAAGCCCATTGAAAAAAATAATTTGCGAGTGAGATAAACCAGAGGTGCAGTCCAAGCATTGTGGCTGAAATACGAAAGAACTATTAGTGTGTATTATAAACACAACAAGTCTATTTACAAGGTTTAGGAGAAACCAAGTAGCTTGTGTAATATCAAGAGAAACCAAAATGGGACGAAATTGATCATATGAATAATTTGTTTTGCTTCGCGACAGTCGACTGCTGAATCCTACCTGAAGCTTCCAGGCATTGAATTATTTTTCAATCTTCCTTAGAGAGATACTACCTATGAAGCCATGGCGTAGACGAAAAACTTATGCACCAATTCACGCAAATAAGGCAGTGCAGTGTTCAGTTTTAACACACCGTCACTTATGAAATGACATTTTATTAAAAGAAGCATATTGCGTTGAGAATTGGATACAAAAATTAGCCAGATTATGATCAAACATAAGTAATCAGCTATTGCACCTTACGTAAGCGAAGTATACATTCAATTTATGTAAAAAAATAATAGTTGGT